GGATGATATTTACAATTCAGATGGAACGTGAATAGTTTCTTATATTGCGTTACTGATAAAGGGCAATATATTATTTGACCTAGATGTGCCCCTCTCCTTTCCATTCTTCATTTTCTTCTTCTGTTTGTGAAAAACTATGCACTATCAGAAGACTAATAACGTGGGCTCAGGTCCGCTCAGGTACCCGATCCGGCATTTCGCTTCCACTAAAAGCCGGACGACGCCAGACTAAAATGTCTTACACTCGTAGTTGGCTGTCCGTTAATACGAAAATAACGATATTCGCCATTCTAATGAAGGTTAATTGACAGCTGTCAAACTAGAGCATCCGCTGACCATCATCACCTGACTGTATTGCGGGCTCATTTATCTACCCATTGAGGTCACGTATTTTTCTTAAGTTTTCCTCTGATGTTTTATTTGATCACGGGCTCAATTCTGTATTTTGAGCGAAGCCCCATAGCTTAGAAAATCTATTTGGCAATCACGTGACGGTACACCAACCGCCCGATCTTCCGTCCGTTCGCACCACAGGAATACCAATGTTTAATTTCACACTTTCTAGCTAGCTTGGGAGCCTGCAAACTGATATTGTACATCCATGTTTTGACCAATTGACAGCTGCCAAAACAGTGAATCCGCTGACCAGTATCGTCTGACCGTATCGCGGCTCAGGTAGCGACGCATTTGGTTTGGGTGTTTTTTAAAGTTATCCGCTGATAAGTTGCTACTTTTCGAATGATCGCAGGCTCAAGTTCGATTTTGGTAAAATGCTTATGAAATAAGTCGTGTTTATGAGCCGTACTTTTAAAATTTTGATTTCCAGCTGACTTCGGACGCGAAAATTCAACCGGCTTTTACATGTTTTTGACTTTTCTCAGCATAGTCACGCGTTGGTCACGCTCTACGTCCAATTTTTATGCTCTGATTGGTCAAAATTTGACAGGTGAGTTCATGCGGAAAATTTATGCAGCATCTGGACACTTGTTCAATGATAGCTGAAGAAGACAGAGTTTTGTGTCATCTTGTGTTGTTTTTAACTGTCTTTTTCTACTGGATGTACAAAATAATTTCCAGCTGCTATCAAGATTCTTCTGTATTTCATGGCTGGTTTGTTGATTGCGCTTTTGTCTGAGAAATGCACCGCCTGTCAAAGTCATTGGAAATCCGAGTTTGGATGGCATCGTTTTCAAAAATGAGCTTACTCACTTGCCCTTGTTCGAGGCGTAAGAGGGTTGAAAGTCTTAAGCGATTCCGGCCTCACTTGATGGCCTTCAGGAGCAGCATCTCGACGGGTAAGCCTGAGCTATTATTGTCTTTGATGTGTTTTTTTTTTTTTGGTTTCCTAAAGTCGAGCGTAGTTTGAAAGCCTTTAGACCTTTTTTGACCACAGATACGAAGAAAATGTTCCGAAGAATACTAAATTATGATTTTGGCTGTAAAAAGAAAGCTCTAAGCGATTTTCTTGCCTCGAGTTCATCTTGAAAGATAGCAAACAACGGGAAGCCGGCCTAAAACATAAATAGGCTAATGCTTACCTGACTCATGATTTACTCTCAACACTTGTCTTCGTGAATGAAAATTATTGTCTCTGTACATGTTTCACCGAATTATGTTTATTTTATTGATTGTTCGTAGTCTCTCTCGCAATTTTTATCGCTGCGCCGGTTGTTTTCAGTCGTACATAAACATCTCGCATACGGGAGTATTCAAAATGCCGCGCGTAAATATCGCTCGCTCTTAAAGATTACACATAAAACCATGAACAGTTTCATAAATAAAGGGAAATACAACCTAAACATAACAAATTCTCTATTATGTTGAAGCGTAAATGGTAACTCTATTAATTTTCATTCATACACTTGACAGCTCGAACTGCAAATTAGTTTGTGCTTGTCAGAAGAGAGAACACGTCCGGCTGGCCAAAAAGGTGATTTGGGGAATTTTTTTATCGTTTTCACTAAAAGTCCATAATTATTACCCTGCATATCAGATAGGACCAGATTTTTCTAACTGAAAAGTCCCGGCATTATGGAATTCTCTTCATGAAAACGTTTTACAGTCGACTCCCGATAACTCGAACCCTCCCTAACTCGAACCTCGCGCTAACTCGAACCAAAATCGATTTCCCCTGGATTTCCGTCATACATTCACTGTAGTTTTACCCTTGGTAACTCTTAACCCTCGATGACTCGAACTCCCGCTAATTGGAACCAATTTTCGTTTCCCCTCAGGTCATTTTCTATATAATTTTACCCTCGATAACTCGAGCCATGTTTTGAGCCCTTAAAAAGTCGTCTACTGGCGTCCGAAACATTGAATTTTGGATTTCCTATTCACTTGTTAGTAGTCTACTATGTTGGAAATTAACCCCGTTGGTGCGTTCCCTTTGCGTTCCGTGTGCGTTCCCTTAATTAATATGTGTAAGGGTCGAGTCAATGACGTCACCCATTGTTATAACCTAGGGAAAAAAATGCGTTCCTTCATATTAATTAAGTGCCTTCCCTTGCCTTCCGTATGCCTTCCCTTAATTGATATGCATAAGCCTATGACGTCACCTTGGAAAGAAGTGTCTTCCTGCATACTAATTTGGATTAGGTTTACTAATGAGCGTCACTCTACTACAATAGGAACAATAGGCTTGCCTAGACTTGCCCGTGAAGTAACTTGAGCTCGGTTTTCGGACAGTCTATTAAAAGGAAAATAGGAATAAGAGAAGCGATCACGTAGCAACGCGAGAAACGGCTTCCCATATCTTATTTAGCGCTAAAACTCAGATATATAAACAAAACACATGTGCACAAAGTGGAGTTGAAAAGTCTTTATTTCCGTTTAGTTTATGTCTTCTTATTGAGCTCTAAAAGTCGGATACATATAAACAAAATACACAAAGTAGAACTGAAAACTCTATTTCAATTTTGTCTGACGTTTTCTCCGTTCTATCTCGAGGAAATGAAAAACTATTAAAGTCTTGTAATTTCACGCACGGTTAATCAGTTAATTATGCGAGTTCGCAAGCCCAAAGTTGAATACAAATTAGCTCTACGGGAAAGACCCAAGGGAGAGAATCTTGACGTATTATTATAAAACAAATAACTTAACAAGGATCAATTAAAACACGCGACTAATAATTGCTAGCAATAAAATCTGACACGAGATACCGTTTAAAACAAAAAGAGTCAAATACACAGCGACTTGAAAGAAATCTATTAAAACAGTCAAAGAAAGCAAGTCATGTTTTACTTACCCCTCTCCCTTTTCAATTTTATATCGCTCCTCAATTTTTTTCTTTTTCTCTTCTCCACAATTTTATTGTTTTCCCTCCTCCTCCTCTTCATTTTCATTGTTTTCCCTCCTCCTCCTCCTCATTTTTATTGTTTTCCCTTCTCCTCCTCCTCCTCCTCCTCCTCCTCCTCCTGCTGTTGTTGATTGTCACAGGCTAACGTGAAGCAGCTTTTCTTCTCAAAACAGTAAAACGCATGCTCTATTTAGGCTATGTTTTTTTACGTTACGTTCTGATTTATAATCTAGAAGTGTCTTTTAATTTTCACTTCACATTTCTAATATTAAATGTGATTAAAATGTTCTCTGTGCAGTAAAAACTGTTTTTTACCTTACTCTCGGCTATTTTCTTCGAACTCCCGATAACTCGAACCTTTTTTGATTTCCCTTGAAGGTTCGAGTTATCGGGAGTAGACTGTATAATGTGGTCAATGCTACAAGTTTGTTGTGCAAAAGAAGCGCCCGCTTCGATCGTCCTGGATATTTAATGAGTGCAATTTGTCTTGCAAAATTGTGAAAAACTGCAGAATTATAAGTTTAAATGAGTAAAAAAGAACAAATTCTGTCCGAGGTCTGTATAGTAAAAAAAGAGCACCTCATACTACTGTTTAACTCAGATGTGATGAAAAAGTATATTTTTTAAGGCTGGTTTACACGCCACCAGATTTGTCACCATCAAGATTTACTTGTAAAGTAAACTTGTCGAACACAAAAAATCCGGTCTGATATTTTAGACGGAGGAATACAACATGTAAATTGGCTGCCACTGAGGACATTATCGTGTGTTTCATAAAATTATCCATAGTCTTTAGAACGGAGTGGTTTGAGAGGCTATGCATTAACCTTATAAAATTAAGGTGGTGGGCGACTGGGTTATTTTGTTTGGGAAGAATTTGTTTTCCAGGCCTAATCTACTGTGATCGACCATGAGTGCTATTTTTGGGTGTACATATAAGACTATTACACGTTGTAAAATTTGTTTTACTCTTGGACTATCAAATTATTTTCCTCTAAAATCACTTCGCATTTGCCTCAAAGTCACTTGAACGTGCCCTAAAGTTAACTGATTCGTGGATTACAAGTTTATTGTTTGATTTTAATGATTAATTTATTAACGGGAGCTTCGCTTTTCAGGCTGAATCTATATATTAGAATCTGAAAAAACTGAACTTTGCTGAAAGGAATGCCGGCTATTTCCATAAATACTGAAAATTAAATATATGACATTTTACATGATAGTTAAATCTTAATAAATTCATAGACAAAATACAACTTGGAGTAGAGCGTTTTCGTATGACGTGAAAACAATGAAATGGCGGCCATTTTTGTGTTCCAACCAAACCAATCCTGTGGGAGTTGAATTCTTTCTTTTGTTCCCATAAATTTGCATAGATGCTGGCTACGTGAGTGAAAAATCTCTATAACATTTCCGAGAACTGTTTATAAGGGCGTGTAACTCCAATTCAAGAGGTAAAATCTTCCTCTGTTTTGCGCCCTTCAAATTACGTAAGCTACACTGTTGAAGATACCATAAATGACGTAATTAAAATTAGAATGACGATCTCTTCAGTTTGGAAACTTGGAATAATGATTAGCCAAGGACTTTTTCTTAGTTCTGATTGTTTACCCAAAAATCCATTTGAAGGTCAGCTCTCTAGTCTCATTTTTAAGCTGTAATCTCTTAAACCTATAATTACGACGGTTTTTCTTGTCTTCATCTACACAGAATTTCCCTGCGCTGCTTTCCTAACCCGGCAACATAGCTTCAATCTTTGTTTAGCAACGTCTTCGTATTCTCTCCATTGTTTTTCTTGGGCAATACTGAGGGCCTCCCTTGATGGTGCAATTCCTGTTGAATGGAACGATCGAAAGTGATAAGTTTGATTACATAATATTATAATACCTCAAATAGAGGGGTTAATGTCGTTTTTCGAGATTTTTTCTGAGCTTTTTTGAACTTCTTTCCATTTTGGTGTAGTCTACGTAGCTGTTTTAAAACTATTAGTAGTTGCAATTGCTTTTTTTTCTTTTCAACTGGCATCTGGAGGGCGCTCAGAAACTATATATTCGGTGCGTTATATATCAGTTGAATGTGTATTTTGCAAAAATGTCACTCGACTTTTTGTTTGTGACTCTTTAGATTAAGTACCTCTAACAAAGTTCCCAGTCCTTATGAAGAAATCAGTCTTGACGATGTCGAAGCTTAGAAGTGCTTTCTTTAGATAACATGGCAAAAGTCTGTCTTCAATTTCCCTAATCAAATGAGATGCTTTGGCCATATGTTCCTCAGGCACTGATTGCTGGAAATCAAGATTTTTCACGTGTCTCGAGGACTTGACATAGAAAGCGAGCCGTCTGTTTTTAGCTCTGATTTGAAAACGATTGGTTATGGGACGGATTTCAGCGTCCAAATGGCGTTCGATATCTTGGAAGCAGTTTTCAGTAATGGCTTCCTCGCTTTCAGTGATTCCAGCTCTAGCAGACTTCTCTACATAAAATGAGGCAATGAAATATCTGTTTTCTGCTGTTTCTTCACCTGCAGCACATGGTAGTAGAAGCTAACAGGTAAAGTACAGAAAAAATCAATCATGTCATTACGGATATTAATACAAGTGACTGGCCCAAGGGAGACTATAAGTTTACCAAAACATGTTATGGCCGCGGTTTTAATGACAATTTTGGATTGAGGTCTTCTAAAATTTAAAGCCTTTCTTAAAAATACAAAGATAAAAATTAAAAGTAACGAAGGTTGGGGTTTATATCCCTATTTAAGGTGTTTCGATACAGTTTTTCAGAGGTCATACCGATATTTTTCAATCTCCTTAGAAGTGCTTTTTTTCCTTGTCTGATCGCTATAAAATTTTCACCAGTAATTGGCTTAGGATTGAAATTTTTGAAAATGTCGTCTTAAGTAAAATCGATATTACTATGACAACAATAAACAAAAAACTTTGAAATTGATAAAAGCCGAATTTTGTGTAATCTAGACCAGCTACAGAAAATCCAACACTAGGAACTTAAAGTTTGGTGTTTAGCAAAGAATCTCCGTAAGAAGTAAAAAAAAACTGTGTGTTTGAATTAGAATAAAACGAAAATATATTTCAATAGCCGTGATAGATTATTTAATTAAAACGTTATGAATGACTCAAATTATTCTTAAGCAGCTTCTGAATGTTGCTTAATATCATATTTTGATGCTAGGAAATTTTGGTGTATTTTCGTTCTTGCGATCTTGAAAACTAACCCGTTTTCTCACCACCTGTGTAAGTGCAACTTATTCAAAATTTGGACTTTTAGCGCATTTTTGTGTATCTCTGAAACGACTCGATCAAATTTTTTAAAACTCTTCACATAGTCTTCATAATGTATATAATAAAGCTGAAACATTCACGGAGATTGATTCACTGCAAAATCTTAAAATTTCAAGACAAACCTATCCTACGAACCTGTCAAAAATCTGCATTACAACATTCCCTGTTTAGACGTTATACGAATTTTTCCAACTGAATAATGCGCACTATACATATCTCCATGACTAGTACATTTTAGTTTGAATTTATCGCATCTTTTGAATGAACAACATTGACAATTCTTACACTGAAATGTACTAGTCATGGATATATGTATTGTCCCCACTAATTTGGAAAAATTAGCACGACTTCAAAACAGTGAATGTTGTAGCGCGGATTTTATGACCGGTTCGTAAGATAGGTTTGTCTTGAAAATTTCAAGGTGTTACATTATTATATACAATTATGAAGATAATGTGAAGAGATTAAAAAAAAAATCATTCGAGTCGTTTCAGAGATATAAAAAAAGCGCTAAAAGTCCAAATTCTGAATGAAGTAAGACAGGTGGTGAGAAAATGGGTTTGTTTTTAAGATCACAAGAACGAAAATACACCAAAATTTCCTAGCATGCATCGAAATATGATATTAAGCAGCATCTGATGCTACTTAAGAATAATTTGAGTCATTTATAAAGTTTTTATTAAATAATCTATCACGGCTATTGAAAATTCAAAGTTTGAAATATATTTTCGTTTTAGTCGAATTCAAACATACAGCATTTTTTACTTCATACGGATCGGAGATTCTTTGCTAAACACCAAACTTTAAGTTCCTACTGTTGGATTTTCAGTAGCTGGCCTAGATTACACAATATTAGGCGTTTATCAATTTCAACGTTTTTTGTTTATTTTTGTCATAGTAATATCGATTCTACTAAAACCTACATTTTGACAAATTTCAGTCTATAATCAATCATTGGTGAAAATTTCATAGCGATCAGACCAGGATGAAATCACTTTTAAAGCGATTGAAAAATATCTGTATGGCCTCTGGAAAACTACCGTAAAATTCCGAAAATCAGCCCCTCCATGTAAAATCCCCTCCAACTATAGGCCTCCCAAATCGGTAACGCAAAAAACCCTCCGTTAAATCGTCCCTCCAAATATAAGCCCCCCGGGGGCTTGTACCTGGAAAATTGCCCTCAAATACAAAGTAAAACAAAGCAAAAACAGTAAATTTACTTCCAACTATAAGGCTAGCCCAATCGATTTTGAAACGCAAATTTCCCTCCGTAGATAAGCCCCTCAAACTGGGCCTTTGAAAAATATAAGCCCCGGGGGTTATTGAGGCACGATCTGTAACAGCATGAAATTTTATATACTTTTTACTTCAACCTTCTAGCTAACTACTACAAACTCTTTACTGAACATTTTTGGTGTTATAACGTGTTATACTTTTTAATTTTAGAATTTAAAGCCTCGCAATAAAGTCGTTGTTGTTGAGTTTCATTCTCACCTCTACGGAATCATCGAGTAATTCCTTAGCCTTTGCATATTGTCCTTCCCTACGGGCAAGCGCTGATTCCACGTACTTCAGTTTAGTTAGCAAATAACAGTGATTAGTCGAATGATATGTCCGCGATATCAACAAAGCGTTCTTTGCGTGCGTCTTTGCCGCTTCGATGCAGTTTTCGTGTAAGTCCAGTAGGGCCAGCTAGAAAGAAGAAATGAAATAGCGTTATAATAACTCCGTAAAAGGTGCTCCAGAGAATTGAAGACGTTACTGGCAGACTTACTGCGGCATCTGATGATAAGCAGAATCACATGCACTCCTGCAGTGGTGCGAGGGGTGATCAAGGGTGTGTGGCTGCAACATACTTGAACGCTGTGCTTTAGATGTGTGAAATAAATTGGAACGATTCCACTATTATGTGATTAGCTCTTCTGTGTAATAAAAATATTATGGGACATGCCACTCTTGAGTACCAATGATGGCATTTAAAATTGCGGCCAACTTTTACTTCACTTGGGCTTAATTTACAATGATGTCAGCCGAACATTGCGGGATTTTCAAACAAAACAGCCCACATGAAAGTAGGTTAGAAATGGCTGTTCAAACAGACCCGATTATAAAATGACAAACCTCATAAAACACCAGTGGAATCAAATCTGTGTACTTCGGATTTTTGTCTGCGAACTTTTCAGGCCTTTCTAAGTTCTCCATGAAGATTTCCCGCATTCCTTAGAAAAATAAAATTCAATCGTATAAAGCACTTTCAAAGCAGGTGTTTTCAAACTCGTTCCCAGGAACCTAGAAACGAGGTTGAGGTGCTTCAGTTTTGCTTGAACAGAAAAATGTATGAGTGTTACTCACCATCATCCGCCAGGCGCTGAAAACGCTTGACAATTGCCATTCCCGCGTTACTGGCCCACACACCTGACAACATGAACCATTTGAAATATCATACAACTAAAAATAGTAGTTGCTGAAGAGGCCACATCTACTTAAAAAAAGACTGAAAGGAAAACTCAAGGTCTTTGAAGTGTTATCTGAGTGACTGTAATGCTGCATATCCCGCTTTCTGATTTTTTCGTGAACACGGAAATTAAAAGTGTGAATGATTGGCGGTCCAGGGCCTGTTTCTTGAAAGACCCGGCAACTTTAATTTTCGGGCCCGAAGGCAAATCTTAAAATCAAAACCTGTTAAATACTAGCATATTAATTATTAAAAATGTGAATGATTGGCGGTCAGGGGCCTGTTTGTCGAACGACCCGGTAACTCTTCGGGCCAGTAGGCAAAACTTCTTTAAAATCAAAACCTATTAAATACTAGTATAGTTCCCAGCTCTCACAAACCCGCTTCCTTAACTGATGGTTGTATAGATTGTATCACTTTCAAAATTATTAAACTTTGAGCTTGCAAACACGGCAAACATAGGTCACCTTATCGAGCTCAAATACTTTCGAGAAACGGGCCCCAGGTTTCAAGAAGTATACCCTGCTATTCATAAATTATCTCATTGTCTGAAACTTCATCATTATATCTATCCTAGTTCACAACCTGAAAACCTCGTTGCCTTAAACATGCTTTTTTCATAATAACTGACCCCGAGGCCTGATCTTCCTAATGGGATGTTCAATTGCAGGGCCTTCCTGGTACTCTTCCAGGCAAGGTCCAGGAACGTGGATCTTTCGCTCCAGGCAAGACACAAAGGAGTGTTGAGCTCCTTCAACCGAATAAAGCTGCACGGTGTGCGTAAAAATCTGAGGTCTTGTAGAAGGAAGTAGAAGGGTGACAACTCCTGTAGAACCTTGTAGATCACGAGAATTGTAATCATCAGCTTTAGTGAGGATAAATGCACTTGGTGAAATGTGGAGTTTCAGGACATAAGTTCCATTGTTCTGGCAAGGAGATAATAAAGAGGAGGCAATTAGTCGTATCGACCTACTTTTAAAAAACCCTCGGACTGACAAGCAAATTCAATAAAACAACATCGTGGAACAAGTGGGACGTTGAAGGTGGAGTCGGGATTTTTACATTCCCCCCTGCAGTGTCCAACTGCAGAAAAATCTTGATTTCACAGAACCTGCAGCTACCCAAATCTCCCAAAAATCCATTTGGATCTCTTCTATCCTAATTTCTGATTTCCTTCATTTTACTTATAAACAAATAAAAAGGTCATCAGCATCGACAACAACTGAAATGAAACTGACATAAACAAAAACTTCTTCATTGAAATTTGCTTTTTATCACTCTTCAACTTACAATATCAAAGCCATCTGCAGTTGGAGACATGACACTGCTCCAGATTTCCTCATGTGGAACCTTCACAATCTCCAGACGGTTTTGAATCGCCACATAAGGACCAGCAAAAGGGTAACAAGGAATAGTCATCCTCGGCAGGCTAGGTAGACCCGAGGCGTTAGAATGTGGAAAGAATCCTCCGAACATGTTAGCTCGCTGAGATTGTGTTATCCTGGGCTGCAACTCTACTCCTGTCATGATTCTAAAAATAATGAGAACAAAAAAAAGTGCATTTTTGCTTAGGTCAAAAACGCACAATCAAAAAGTTCTGCCGAGAGTAAAAACTGAGTGTGAGACTGTAACCTGAGATCTGGCGTTATTATTTTTTTTTTGCTTCTTTGCTTCTTTGGCTCGCGAGGGAATCTAACGTCTGCTTGACCTGTCATGTTATTAGCCAATCAGCGTTTACCAGACGGGAATCAAATTTTGGCGCGAATAATGTCCCTTTGGACATCAATTTTAGGGAAAAGAAAATCATTAAGTACGTCCATGTTCAGAAGCCGCTTCCTAAAAAAAATTGAAATGTGCTTTTTTTAGTGATGAAATACTGCTAGCGGAAGCTGCCGTATGATTTAACAACTACAAATATGAACACGTTTGTCGCTTCTGTAACTTGTAGCCCCGCCGGTATCAAATTGCATTCAAATGATCGGTGAATTTTTTAGTTTACGATGAGATGGAAAATATTTCAATCGATGAAATTTCTATTTAGATATTCTGCAAATTCAAGAAAACTAAGCCGGCAGAAATTTCATAACGAACTCGCGGGTGTATTCACTGCTCATTTAATACACAAGCAAAAAAGCAGACTGAAATCAACAGGTGACATTTTGGCCGATCGGAACAGCGCAAATCATCCGTATTGTTTCCTATCCAATCAGAAAAAGAGTCCAGATTCTAGCTTTTTTGCATGTGATCTGTGAAAGGATTGTATCATGCCCTCCTGTAGGTATATGACGCATATATATGTTGTAGACAGACCTATTGAAGAGTCACAACATTATTCCCTACGCTATCCTGAGATTCCTGCGGAATCAGCCAACCAAAATTCCTTCCGTTGCATGCTCTTTTAAAATGCAAAGTTTTCATTCGCGGGAAAATGCAGATTCGCGAAACGTTTATCTTTTTTCAACTAAAAATAAAACAGCGCAGTCACATTTAACTTCTTGTGAGATAAAGGAAATCTTGGAAGGTTATTTCTGTTGGCGTAGAAGATAAAAAGGTTTCGAAAAGACGGCGACACGATGTTCTCGTTTTAATATTTTGGCTGTTCTGTTGCCTTTAAAGCCTTATTTCCTCGGCAATTTTCCCCGCTTTTTCAGTACATAAATTATTAAAAATCTTGGAGAAATATTTCGCGAACTTTTTCAAAGGATATATAAATTATCTCGGAACAAAGCAAACGAGTTCTCAAGTGGATTTAATTTAGTCCCGTGAGTACACTTTCAATTGGCGAATTTACTAGAAACACCGTCTCCGAAGAGAAAATAATTTTTTTTAAATCCAGGAAAATATTATCTGCCACTTTGGATAGACGAAACGACACTACTAACACTGCATGCTCAACTGACCTATTATCAAAATGAAAAACAATATTACAAACACTTTAATTTGTAGTTCTGTTGGGTTATTGTTTTGGATTCTAAGATGCGTTTTGTCCCTAGCTACGAGCCACCGTACTGAAAAGCTCGCTAAATTTAATAATCGAAACTAACAAACAGCAAAGAGCCAACGAGCTAGGACAACAGTTTTCCTATTTATTTTTTACAAAAAGCGAAACCAAACAACAAGTCTGTTATGTTAACACTAGCAGCAGTAGCTTTTATAGTAATTCCTACCAAACGTCTTTGAACAGCGATGCGATATATTTTAAGTCTAATACTTCACAGCAGGCGATTGAGGTTTCTTTCGCATGTAGTGAGCCTCCGCTTGCGTGCCCCGTTCAGAGAAGTCATTTCCGGCTAAACTTTCAAATGAAACCAATTTAAACATGAACAGTATTTCGACTTCCACTCGTTTGTTGGTAAATCAAAAGGCTCCTTGTCTGAGGTGAACAATTTGCAGAGGGAATCGACTCCGCGATACACTCACATTCATTAGTTCCATAAATTAAGCAAATCCTGATATGATATGGACAACCATCTGAATTTTCTGAATTTCTACGGCACATATTAAGGCATATTTTCCTACCGCAAGACCGTAAAACAATTGAAAAGACAGCAAAATCCTTCTCTCCGCTGACGGCGGATCATTCGCGAAGATTTTTTAGTGCTACAACCATGCGAGGAATAAGCGCTTTCAACTTCCGGTGATTCCAACAGCCAATCAGATCCTCTGGCATTGTTCTAACAGCCAATCAGCGTTGCGGTCAAAATCTGGCCGCAGCATCATAAGCTTATGAGACTTTGTATCTGGCCCAATTTTAGCGCGACTACGTTAGAGAGATTGTATCAGAACTGCTAAAATTGGGCCTAATCTGAGGTTATCCCAGCCTACGCCTGATTCTCAGACGCTCCATGGAAGGGAGCGAGTGCGTGGCCGCCAGCGTGTGAGAGCCCTCGATCTGCACAATTATTTTTATCTCGTTGCCGAGGCTTCTCTTTATTTTTATCTATTTATTTATTTGTTTATTTATCTGTTAACGTGATCTTTTGTTACCAATTAACCGCGCAGCTCTGAGAACGAAAATAATCTTTTAAGATAATTGGTTACACTGCGCAGGCGCAGAGATCAGGTCATTGTGACAAAGTTGAGAGATTTTAACAGACACAATCAAGTAACAGATCGACATTTCAATGCGTCATATACAGGTTTTCAGCGAGTTTTCAACATAATGTTTATTCTATGATGTAAAGGCTAAAATCGGGAGTGGTATGTTGTGTTTAATATATTAACATGACAACGGATACAAAAAGGAAAAATTAGAGGCGTCACAAATGTACGGATTAAGAATCTAGCCTAAAACGTCACAATTGGGGCGCTTTTGCTTTGAATTATGTATCCAAAATCTTCCTTAACTTTTGAAATTCAATGAAAAATAACTGAAAGTGTAAATTTACTGAAGCGATTGGTTCTATAAAATACGCCTGATCTTTTCCGCATAATTTTAGTTTGCAGGAACAAAAATGTTTACAGACAAAAAAAACTTTGAAAAGTGGTAGAATGCCAGTAGAATTCTTCGGTGTGTAGCTTTATTTAGTTCACAATTCATATCATTTTCAGAACAGCCGTTTTACAAAAATTATTCGACATAAGGTTCTCATACCCAAACAGTGCAATTTCTAACGCGGAACTTGCCTTCCTGTCAAGACTGAAGATGGCTTCCAAATCCGTGATAAGTTAAGGTCTATGTGAAGGCCTTCAAGTACAAGGGTACCATCGACAGTTACAGTACATTATAGGCTACTTTCATCTATTATTCTCCATTCTAGGTCTCCAGTTTCGCGACCCGATCCTTCGAATTTCCACCTTCCCTCGTAAAACATTTTATTTTAACATTAATTTTTCGAACCTCTCGATAGTTCAAACCAATTTTCTTTCAGCTTTGACGATTTCACTATCTTTAGATCTCGAATACTTTAAATAAAAAATCTTACTGTAAAATGTAACAAATTACGAGAACAAGACCAGTACTGAGTCGAGACTGACGTGGGTATGATTGGGGAGTTGTCATGCATATAAAGTGGTTTTGATTTGCTATGATCGTTCATCCGTCTCTTCAAACTGCTCGCAAACTGCGGCGTATCACTTGATCAATCTCATTTTCACGTATTGAATACAACAAATTGAATGGCTAGTATTTAAGATGGAAATGTACAGGATACTGGGCAATTTAAGCGCGATTACCTTCGCTTAAAACATGACAAAAGCCGTAGTGAAACGTCAACTACTACAAATTGTTAAAAAATAACCAAAAACATAATTGTATGATTAGCAACTTCTTAATGGGATTGATGTTACCTTTTCTTGTTATCGTGTATGTCACTCAATGATCACGCGAATAACACTGTAAGTCCAAACACAACTTCTATCCACATACAATCATGCCATATGTCTTGAAAACGAACCGGCGTATTGCGAAGGGGAAATAGGAAAAACAAATATGCGTATCTAAAGAGAAAGTCGGGGATTCCCCTGGACTAAAGTTAGAGATTACTGCAGCCGAAAACGTGCAGTCTCTCATACATTAAGGCCGATGAACTCAATTCAGACTGCATGGTTTTAGTACGTTTGTGTCCCACACCAGCAAGTTATAGTAAGCCACGAATGAATATCTGAAAGACTTATTTACAGCTTTCTCAGTCAAATCCCGCTTTTAGAGCCTTTAGTGCTAATGCCCCCAAAATAGTTCAATGGTTTAATGTGCTATGTCATTATGGGTCCAATATAGGCAATGAATTTCCAGAGGGAGAGGAATTCGTGTTTACTTAGCCATACCAGCAAGATATAGTAAACCAGGAATAAATCTCTGAAAAGCTTATTTACAGCTTTCTCAGTCAAAGCCGGCGTTAAGATCCTTTTAAATTATACTTAATGCCCCCCAAAATAGTTCAAAGGTTTAATATGCTGTGCCATTATGGGGCCAATAAGGCAAATAAATTTCCAGAGGGAGAGGGTGAGAGTCGATTTCGTATTTACTTAGACAAGTATCAGAAGATAAGCGTTGTATTTCTCAAACTGGGAGGTTACAGTGGCGGACTAGTTTTTTCGAAACTTTTCCGGTTGGACCGAACCAATCCATTGAGTTTTGGACCAAAATTTCCGGAAATTTTAGTTGAATGGATCGGGCCCAGTGTGTTAAGCCCACTGGAAATGCTATTACGAAAACAAGGTCGACCGCTTGATTAAGAGAAGTAACAAGGTCTTTATTCTTCTATGAGGTATAGGTCGTTGGACTCACATGGAGGTGGAGTACTTGTCGGTAAGCTAAACGCAGTGTTTGAGAGAATATCAATTTAATAATAATAATAATAATAAATAATAACGATAACGATTTGCAGGTAGCACATCCACAAAGTGGTTCTCCGTCTACCTGATTCCTGGTCAAATTGGAATTTGGAAATGTTGGTTTTTGAGGAGAGGGGAAAACCGGAGTACCGGGAGAAAAACGTTTTGTATGAGATTCCACTTTTCCATTAAAGCTTCTTTTACGACCAGAAGTCAGTTACAGTGTACTGCGCAAGCGCGACCAGTAAATTTCGTCGTCGTGGTGTCGTCTACGACGCCAAACAAAGTACAATCACGTCGTCCTGCAATCCACAAGCTTCAGCAGGTATGCAGCTATCAATGAAAGATCTTTTATGGTTGTGCAGAGGAGTAACGTAGCGGGCCATACTGCGGAGTTGGTAGTGTGTGCTTCAGTACTGAAAATGGCCAAGAAAAAGAAAGTTTGAATGAGGAATACTTAAGCTAGCCATTTTCGTAGCTCGCATGTATACGCGCCGGACATTGTAATTGTCTAGTGAAATATCACGGATACTCTTCGAAGGCGTCAATTGGTGTCAGCCAATAAACAGATAATTCAGGCGTGACTCAGACGATAAACCGATATTTGACAACAACTGATATCAATAAAAGATTGACTTAACATTAATTAATCTACACTTATTATATGCACAATGAAAAAAAAAAAACAGCTTTCGCCGAACCAAGACCTTTAATTAGCTTATGCCCCAGTACGGCAACGTTCAGGGGGACCTCTCAATCAGTACCACAATTGATTAAGATCCGGGTGAGCGAGATGGCAAGGAAAATATATACAATATGCAGTCGAAGCAATGGATTGAATGGAAATGCACAAAAATCTATTAATAGCATAGAAACACACCGGGAACACTATGATTACTACTCACTGGTCTAGTGGCTTATGTTTAAAGACTAAAGCCGGTCTTGTGTTGTTTACGAAACGGCAACGCCAGGTGCACATACTCCTTTGTATTTTAATGATTACAATCGATTATTATTGATTAGCATAATTATCGATAACGTGTTTGGGTCAGTAGTTCATGTATGACCCCATGTTGTTTGTTGTTGCTGTTTTTTTTTGTTTGTTTGTCTGTTTGTTTGCCGTTGTTATTATACTTTTTTTTCCTTTACTTGAGCTCCACGAGAGGGTTTGCTTTATTACTTGTATCCTATTACGTATAGGTAATAGCATGATTTGTAGTGATATTTGGCGTAAATTCCACGAGTGATGTTTCAAAATTGTTATACGTAAATTTGAGACAGTTTTGAATTATCATGAGTGGTATTTATGCCAAATATAATGTACAAATCATGCTATTATTAATTTATACTACTACCCGCAAAAGGTTTGTAATTTTCACATGTAGGTATTTCAAATTAAGCTGAAATACCACTGCTCTAAGCCAATCAAATTGCAGAAATTTCTCCTGTGGTAGTATAAACAATGTGATTCTCCTCTGGCCCCGGTTGTAATAAAACTGAGTTGGATAGTGCTATCCACCGGATAAATCGCTATCCAGAGGAAAAGTATTACGAAAACCAATTGCACTATCCTTTGAATCATGGTAATTTATCCAGTGGATAGCGCTATCCAGCTTTCGAACAACTGGTACCTGGCCCATATTAGCAGACGGTACAAACGATAGTTTGTACTACCTGCAAGAGAGGATCCGTCTCAGACACGATACTATATACTTAAGTCAAAGTATAGGTTTTCCGCTATGTCAACTTGAGATGTGAAGACGTGCCTTTTTATCCGTCCTTAATTTAGTTTTACTATATAACGGTTAACGTTCTGCCTTCCATATGGTCAATTAGAAAATGCTTACTTCTTCTTGATACAGTAAAGAGAATTGTCAAAAATTAATTTTGAATTGAATTGTTAATCTGTTGAAGCACCTACGCAGGTCTAAAACCAAAAAACAAAAACAAGCGAAGCAGAAAAAAGGCACACTTACACGTTAGGATCCTTTAGCTTTGGGTTCAGAGACAACTGTGTGATCTTTAATTACGTTCCCTAATGTCAAATCAAATCATTTTTTTGCCCAAAAAAAGTCGATAAGATTTTAGTACCGATAGTTAACTTTTTTGGGAATTATATTATATATATTAATTATACGCCAAACAAATAATCAGTTTTCAACAAGGGTTAACCCAGTTGACTCGACTCTCGATAAGTTAAAAGCAGTGACTGCCTAAGGCCAAAATTTCTACGCATCCTTGTATTGACCCGCCAAGTACGCTATTACGTCTTCCTTGCGGTGAAATATAAACTAAAGGCTATTTAAGCTAAGTTTATTGTTCATCAATTTAAAAACCGAGCATGGATTACTGGTGACTTAATTCTCATTTGTAACATCGGATAGAGATAAGATTGAAAAGAAAAAAAAGAAGAAGAAACACACACACAACAGACAAAGGATTACAAAAGAACAAAACAAATCGCTTTGTCCTCACAATTTATGCACGACACTTATTCTTTACTTATAGTTATTTTCGATTTATGACTTTTATATATATTTCTGTAGGGTTATTTGCTATTAATTCTTTCTGATGACAACTTTAGTTGCATCAGTTGACCTCCGTCCTGAAGTTCGTAAATTTGTTCGGGCACAGCTCCTTGTTGCCAGTACTTGACTTTGTGACTAAATCTTAATGTTGTTTTCCCAGTCACAGCTTCATTTGAATAATTGGGCTTCTTAGGCTTGCTGCATGCATATATTATAATTCCTCACGGCAAAAAAGCGTGACATTGGTATTGAAGGGCAGCTGATTCGCCAGTCGTAGCAAGATTGCAGCAAGGTTCAGACAAGGGTGTCAGCTGCCTTTTATTTCTGTTGCCTAACTTGTTAATCTCACTGGACACTGTTCTCAGTCGGTCGTTTAATTAAGATGACAGAATCTAAAGTCCCTCTTCAGCAACTGGAAGTAGATGGCGAACCGAAAGTGAAGTCAGGGAAAGGAGCGTTTACTGGTTTATTTTTGGACAAAACCAAGCTAATAATTCTTGCTGTTGTAATCTTGGTCCTGTTGATTATAATAATTGTCTTAGCTGCAGTTCTTGGCCACGAACAAGCAAAGAACAGAAGAGACACGCCGGATAAAACGCGTAAGTATAAGTATTAACAAGTATTCAAATATTCCGGCACTCGGCGATGGGAAGTATTTCAACCCAATATCAGTTTTCAAGTTAGAGGAGAAACAAAGAATGGACGAGTACTTAAATTATCCTTCAATGCTCAGTGCAATTAGCTTGTCTTATAGCGCGCGTCACTGTTTTCATTACTTCAAAAGTTTTTACTTTACTCATGATATTTTATGTCATTAAAATTTGATCGTAGAATGGCTGAATGGTCACACACTTTTTATCCGTAACGAACACTCATGGGTTGTTCTGATTCGAAAAAAGAAAAGAAAAAGAGAGATTTGGAAGTCGATCGTCGAAGCCTCATAACTATTATTTAGTGTGCAGATAGATGGGGTGAAAAGGGAATGTCAGCAAATTAAAATTGGCATTTTTAAATTCAAAATTGTCGTTATATTATTTGATTTTCACGCCGGAGTAAACAAGCAGGTTGTTAATTTGCATTGGATCATTCGAAATCAAGACTAAATCAGGAAACACTTAATCACTCTTTCACGTCGACTGAGCTTACAATTAACCGATCGGAAACAACCAGAACCTGAAACCCTTCGCCGGCGAGGCTGCATCAATCAGAAATTCTAACAAAATATAACTTGTGAGCATTATTTCCCAACATGTGTTTAATTGTTTTCTGCGGGCTCTTATCATGCTGCAAGTTTAAGTATAGTTTGTGCCGGCCAAGGCCCAGTCGCTACATGTCAGATGACGAGCCCTTTCTAAGTCAACAGGCTGACAAAGCGTTAAGGATCAGTCGCGTATAGATGTTATGGTTCCTGAGTTTTATTCTTAAAAATCTCATGCTTATTGCTTTTAAATTTCATCTTCCGTTGTTGTTCAAGTACGGTGTTGTTCAAATATTTGAAAATGATCGGTAAAATAGTTATGGAAAATTTTTAACTGGGATAAAGTTATGTTCGAGCGATGTTTTTAAAAACTATTTTTTAATTCCCAAAAACGATTAATACCTTTTACTGACCTTTGGCACGTTTCTCGAATGTCCTGGTAATTTTTGGGCCCGGTTACCTATTTCACCTTTTCAGAGCAAAGCTTTGCTGAAAAAAATGCGGAAAAAGCTCTCGATTAGGAAGGAAAGTAGGCAGCTACCTACTGGTAGAAGGACGGGACATAATGGCCCTAGAAACCTGCCTCAACATGCAGGGAATATATTTTCTAGTGTCACTGAGTTGTCAATTCGCGTTCCAGTCAGGGATGTTGTGTTGGGAAATTTCAATTCTTATATAGTTTCTATTGAGCATACAATTTACTAATAACTTCATTTTATGTTCATGTTCATTTCCATCCCAACCAATTTGTACTTAAAGCCAGCTGAAACTTTTTAAACAAATACGGCCGTTGATCTTCATGGAGTTTACCGGCAGTGCTTTACCCATTTTCAGTTTGCCCACACAACGCTTTTACCGAAACTCTCTTTATAGTGAACAGTTTCATGTAAGCGTATAGCGTCGAATAGAAAAACAGTTAGTTGTCTCTTTATTTGTAAATAACCTGCATGGGTAGACAACAGGCCCTGCGGTCCCATGATTTTTTGAACCGCAGCCAATTTAGTTAGACTTCGACCCCATAACCAGCCCAGTTTGATTACCCCAGAAGTGGAGCTGTTTTCCCCTAACCTGCTGGAGCAGAGCGTTTCATTCAAGTTTTGACAATGAATTTTAGAAGTTATGACAGATTGGAAAGCACTCAATTTCATTTTTTTTTTGTCCCCCTCATTCTGAATTATGTATTTTGTTAACACATACTTAGCTGACAAAAAAGAAGAAGTGAGTCCTACACAGTCTACCGGTCCTACCACTCCCGGAACTGAACCATGGTGGCAAATCCGTCTTCCGGTGTATATCAGACCCAAGCATTATGACCTCATACTATACATTGATCTGAGTAAGCCTAACTTCACAGGGAAGGTGGATATTCTAACCAATGTATCGAAATCCACGCCTTATATACTCCTACATAGCAGAAACTTGAATTTCACCACGGTTAAAGTCCAGAAGAAATCTGGAGGTAGGTCGTGATTAACAGCTTTTTTGTATGACAATATTTTAAAATATCCGGGTTATTCATATATTATAGAGTACACGCGATGATATTCCGGATACCATAATCCTGGAAAAATAGGAACTTGTCTACTTGCCCTTAGCTTGGATGTTTGAGTGGATCTCAGTTAATTTCAACGGTGTCATGGAAAACGTTGACTGGACACTTCGCTGTTGTAGCCTTTTTATTTGTGGGATATTCGGGGTTGAAATAGGTCTGAAAACCTAAATGTATAGCTAGAATTCCTGTGCAAGGCAATTTAACACTCGTAGGGTTACAGAGTCTCTTATCTTTTTCATAGGACTATTCTTTGTTTTTGCTTTGGTTGCTTTCTTGTTTTTACTCGTTTATCTTGCTTTGTTTGTTTGGAAAATTTTAAATCCATCCTGCTTTGTTGCTCAATTAACATTTAGTTACCTAATATTTCAGATTCAATCCCAATCAAGCGACGCTTCAAGTTCGAAAAGAACCAGTTTCTTGTTATAGTGTTGGAATCATCTATTGATAAAGGCATGTATGTTATAACATCGGAGTTTTCAGGAGAGTATGCAGCTGACCTGAGAGGAATGTATAAGGCGTCCTTCAAATACAAGAACGGCACTGATTCGTAAGTGTTCTGTAAAGATTTATTTTTTATTCTTCTTTTTTTTTTTTTAATTCATCACAGTAAACTATCTTCTCATTATGGTCAAACATCAACGCCATGGAAAATTTATTTAATATATATTTATAATAAATTTATTTTTGGTAATAGCAATAACGTTGTCGTACAAAAAAGCACAAAAGGAGACTTAATATATAGCCATTGAAATTAAATTTTGATATTTTACTAATCATGAAAAGCACTATTGCTGTTTTAAATACTACTTCAATTTAACATTAACAGCGCTCGCTGAGCCTAGTTAGATCACAGACGTTTTACTTTACCCTGCTTGTAACATTTTACAGATTTAACTCTCTCGCTCTCCACCTGCCATATAAACGCCTGCAAAAGGCTAACCATATAACAAAGATTTTAAAATGCCCTTCTGATACTATTTTACAGGGAGTTTGCAATGCCCTGCCTTTACTATTTCAAAGAGGTTTTATAATTCCGTGCTAATACCATTCACAGAGATTTTAAAATGCCCTTCTTATAACATTTTACAGACGAGGTTTTATAATGCCCTTCATATACCGTTTTACTAGAGATTACATCGTATTCATTGTATCTAGTTATGAATTTAAGTTATGAAATTACTGTACATGTGAAAAGAAAAAGACTAGGCACTTGACTAGACAATTATGATGAATATTAATAAAAGAATAGGTTTTATATTAACTGTTAATTGAGGACCTCATTGACTATAGATCTAGCTGGACCTACAATTGTAGCTAGACCTAAACAAGGCCTCAGCTCAACATTATACACTACTTACTATGCAAGAATTTACGAATAAATATATGGATTGCCGTCATTTTTTAATCATTGGTACTTTCAACACCGAACGTCAGGTTTTGTAAGTTTGGCATGCCTTTCCGAATATTCAGGTCTTGCGGTGATAACATATACGGTCTCTTTTCCACGGCCACTCATCAGTCCTTGTAGGTTTGACACTGGCAATAAGAGGACTTTATCCCCCTTCTTTAACAATTACAACTGTAGGCATTTAAATTTAAAATGATAATCTCTTTTTTTTAGTATCATTGTATTGTTTAGACTTGAAAAACTATTTAATTTGCTGTCAGTGATAAATCATTTTGTTAATTGTAGTCTTTAAGTTTTTTTTTACTAGTTTGTCGTATTTTTTTGGCCTTTGTAACCATTTGAATTTCTATACACTTCATTACAGTAACGTTGTCATACAAAAAGTAAAAAAAAACAAAAACAAAAAAAGCTAAGAAGGCCTAATTTAGTAATAGCCCATTAAAATTACCTATGGATATTTAGATTATTCTGAAAACATTTTGTAGTACAGTATATTGTGTTAGAATGAAAGCAGTTGAGTTAAGAGAAGGTTAATAGTTGCCACCGTAAGTACGTTTTATGCTTCACCCTCTCATCCAATCATGATAAGTGTACACCTCTGTTATTCCTTTCTAGCTTTTTCTCTATTTGTTTTGTTGTTTTTGTTTTCATTTTTCCATAACAACGTTATTGGCTGATTAGGAGTATGCAATTTATTATCCATTTGTATATATGTTTATTTTATAACGCCCATTCTATATACGTTTTACTAACTGTTTTATTTTTAACAATAATTTTATTGCGCATTTCATGTGTATGTTAACTGCACTTTACAAATCGTAACATTTGTAAACATTTAATTATAATAACTACAGGGTGTCCCAAAAGTTCGTTCCTCTAATTTCATGCACTATAACTTTTGATCAAAACTATATTTTTACACGAAAATGCTAGAAGATGTTTATTTCTCTATCAAGTACATGTATTCAGAATTTCAGTAGCCGTTGCGGCATGAATTGAGATACAGCGTGTAGACCCACAAATGATCCGTTTTGAGCATTTTTATCACCTGGTGCGCAGGATCCAGTTCAACCCCCAAACAAAATTTGTTTAGTTTAGGCAGCTGAAAAAATATACATATGTATATTTTGGGCGTTCATCCAAAAAAGATAATCATCCCGGCCCCCTTCCACAGCAAAGCTTTTGTACTTCTTTACAAATTTGAAACAAGCTGGGTGTTAAATTGGCAGACTAAGCAGAGGGTTTTTTGCCATCTCAGGGGTCTCTAATTTTAAACATTTTAAACATTTTTTCACGACCCTTTTATTTGGCTTGCTAACTATGTCAGACTGAGTTTCCTTGTCGAGTCTCCTATTTTGTATCTAGCCTTCTTTAAAACTATTCTAGCTGCTTTAATCAGGGCTTTTGGTCTCCCCCTTAGTTTCTTGCCTTCAAAACCTTCATTTCTCCATGATCATTCAACCACCTAACATTCGGATTTTTCCAGTTTTTTAGCAATTTCTATAACAGATAAGCCAGTAAATCGAAGTATGCAGCTGAACGTTTTTGCGTTAAGGGGGTTTATTTTTCGTGATATTCACAAAAAATAAGAAGGAGTTCGAGCAATTCGGGCTATGAAATACAAAAAATATGTGGCTGGAACATATACTAGCGCACGCGCAACTTTGGCGCGGAAGTACACAAGTCGAATATTGGAGTCAAAAGATGGCACAGCAAGTATGAAAATAGTGAATTATATTGAAAGACACAACTTTTGTTGAAATGTTTTCCTTACCAAGTCCTATCGTACTGAAATACAGACTTATAAAGTAGAGGAACGAACTTTTGGGACACCCTGTATAATATTGTTAAGAACTGTCGAACATATAGACTACGGTACAGTGTTGTTTAAGTACTTATAGCAGTAAAAATGTACCACCGTGTTATTTATTGTTCGATTATTTGCAAGTAATGTTAATCTTTCTCGTTAGGCATTTCTCTGCTACTCAATTCCAACCTTTAAGGGCTAGGAAAGTGTTCCCATGTTTTGACGAGCCCGCGATGAAAGCGACCTTTAACGTGAGCCTTGTTCATGATCCGAGTCTAATCGCGTTGTCAAACATGCCTATCTACAAAAGCGAGGTAAAAGAAGGCAGGAAACATGACCATTTTGAGAAAACAAAAAAGATGTCTACTTATCTAGCAGCCTTTGCCGTTGGTGACTTCAAGTACAAAGGGACAAAGACAGACAAGGGAGTTGATGTGAGTTAGAGATTTATATTAATTTTTTATATTTTTTTTCAAAATATGTCTGGCCATTAGTTTCCAAGTATTTAAGAAATAGACCTCTTTAGCTTGTATGTTTTGTTTTCTCGATGAAGGCTTCAGAGAAATTTATATTGTAAAATGAGATCAATAAAATGTATAAACTAAAATTTATAAAATAAATGCTGCTGACATATGCACAAGGAGAATATGGAATTTGATGAGATGAGACAGTTATCTTGAGACGTATTATTACAAAACCTACATTGGGGAAACAAAAGATATAAGGGAATATATGTATATGTCTATTGAAGGAAATATTAGTTTGAAAGAGAAAATGCAAAAGAGATGATAACAATTCATTTACAATGGCTAAGGATGGAAGAGATTAACGTGGATTAAAACGACAACCGTGATTAAAAGAAAAAAAGACTTGTTATAATTTTAAAAAGCTGCTGAGACTATTACGGATTTTCCTTTAATCTGTGAAGCTTCAGGGTATGAGAATTACTTGAGAATATTTCGTATACATACTCAAATTCTTCACATTCGTTTTCTTTGTAGATCAGGATGTACGCTCGAGCGGAAGTTCTGGATCAAGTGGACTACTCATTGAATGTATCAAAGCAATGCATGGCGTTTTTTAAAGATTTTTTCGGTGTTGATTATCCGTTACCAAAATCAGGTGCATTTCTTTTAAAACTTAAAGGGCGCTTTCCAAAAGTCAGAGCTGGCAAGGCGAAGCCGGACACTTTGAAAATGCAGCAGGCTTTTTCGTTGGTTTTGCTGGTCGTGCATCACTATTTTAGGATTTGACTGATCTGGCTGAACAGTTTTGATAAAAAGTGAAATTCTGATTACGACAGGAATGGTCCGGCCTGTCAGTTCCGACAAATGAAGATCGCCTTAAGATCAAGAAAAATGATCAAGAGTCAGTCTGATCTCCACGGTAACGTCAGTAATGCATTCATTGTTTCCTCAGACGGAATCGGCCTACCCGTGTTTGGACCAGGAGGTATGGAGAACTGGGGCCTTATCAAATACCGAGAGACAGGAGTGTTGGTCAAAGAAGGGGAGACCTCATCATCTTCACGAGAGGGCATCGCAAGATTGGTTGCGCACGAAGTAGCACATCTGGTAAAACCAGTGTTATCAGTTTTGTAAAATAAGTTGCGGTCATGTAACCCCAATATTACGAACACCCATTTAGGTGACAGTCGACGAAAAAGTTCAACGTAAAGTGCGACAAGTCAATGAAGCGTGAGCTGTAAATTCCCATACAAATACGTCCCCTTGGAAAGTGGCTAAAGACGCCAATTTAGGATTTGGAAAGTTCTCTGGTAGCTATTTCTCCCTTGTTGATTTACTAACATCTTTTCTTTTTTTAGGAGGGGCGTGGCCGAGTGGTCAGCGCCTCGGACTCGCAATGTGGTGGTCCCGGGTTCGAGCCCGCTTTAGCCACTTTCCTGGATTTTTTCTCGGTCATTCCGAGTTGAAATCCTCGGCCACGCTTGTGAACAGCTAACTGATTGCCTCTTTCCAGTTGGGGTTTTTAATCCTTTTATGTGCACTTTCCACAATAAACAAGCCTTTAACCTTTTTTTTTTTCGCACTTCTGCTGATTTTCTGTTGGGGATCCATACCTAATCACGGTCTTTTTCTATAGTCCTTAAGGAATCTTTGAAAATTCTAACTAAGCTAAATTAACTGCGCTAAGGAAAATATTCGGTATGAAATATGATAGAACGTTGAAAGGGGTAAGTCTATCTCGAGGAATTGGACCTCGAATTGGTCCGCTGAATCATATCAAATTGCCCTTCCTTCCTTGTACATTATTAATGGCAGCTCCTTCTAAAACATTTTTGCAATTTTCTTTGTTACTTGCTGTTTCCAGTGGTTCGGTGACCTTGTTACCATGGAATGGTGGAGTGATCTTTGGCTGAACGAAGGATTTGCTACCTACGCCGGTACTATTGGTGTGGATCATATTCATCCTGATTGGAAAATGGTAAGTGGAATGTGACTGAGCTCTTATACATAAGATTACATAGCACACTCGAGCTATATAATTTATAAAACGTGCATTCGAATATTCGTATCTGAAAACCGAACCGTAGGCAGTCACTTTTCATCCCTTTAAGTTTGGGAAAAACTTACGTGGATGTTGTAGAAACTTGACCGTTGGAATGAAGGGGAGGGGTGGCGGGTAGGGGTGTAATTAGGGACGTTTAGTTACTTATCGTTGAAACCGGTGGATACTTCGGATTTAAAGAGATGGGTATACCGTCGAATGAGATCAAAAATCTGAAAAAATCCCTACGACTTCCCACAGAAACCCCCCTCCGAAAAAAATCCCTGGACCAAACATTATTCCTAAATGCCAAAATTTGCGTTTGCGACGATAATTATAAAGCTGGGCAGTTAAAACGATGGAGAAAGGATTGAAGCCTTGGTGGATATACCGCACCCCTGGAAACATTGGAACAGATGTAATCAATGTATTGTTAAATACAAGAGAGAACAAAAAACGTGAGTGAGTATGGACTGTCCAATGAGGAAATAAAAGTGGCCATGTTGGATTGTTGGCTGGGTTGGTTCCTTTTCTGAAGCCCCAGGGAGGGGGGGGGGGTGCGCGGGATTTTAAGTGACGGGGATGATCGAATGGAGCCAAAAGTCAAGACCCCAAAAAATCCCTAGGGCTTCCAGCAAAACCCAAAAAAATCCCTGGACCAAAAATTAACCCCAAAAAAATCCCATGTCGATTTTGTGGGAATTCCAGTGACGGTAAAGCCAATTGACTGAATTGAAGCGGTTGAAGTCTTGTACACGGCCGGGCACCACGGGACAATGCAGACTATTGCATAACACGTGCGATGTAAAGCGACACCATAGTTAATTAAACAACAGCAAAACACGTTTGTCTGTTACTTTATTCACAGAACTACGCAGCCAGGGCACTACCGATTCTTTTTAATACTCCAAAAAAATCCCTACTCAAATCAAGCTACCCAAAAAAATACATGCCAAATTTTCGTACCCAAAAAAATCCCGGAAACGAAACTTTCAAACCCAAAAAAATCCTTCGATCATCCCCGTCACTTGAAATCCCGAGTACCCCCCCCCCCCCGGTCTGAAGCACCAAAATTGTTTTCTCTTCTGTTGAACTAGCCGCAGCTTGTTCTTTCATCTCCTATAAAGTGAATAAAAAAAAAAGAGAGAATTAGAACACCGCATATTTCGATTTTTTTCACTCGTGAGCTTGGGTCATGCAAGGCTGCGGGATCCTGAAAGCAGCTCAGTTGTTTGTGCTTCCTCAATTTTTGCAGCTCAGTTGCTTTTCCTTTTCTCTTTACCTATGGAATGGCAACTGGTGGTCATTCAGTGTTTCCAAATAGAGTATCACTAAGTTATTTCAACTATTGAGAGCTTTATGTCTTCGTCCTAGGTTGACCAGTTCATAGCCCGAGTTGTGCAGGATTCTCTGGATCTTGATGGACTGGCAAGTTCTCACAAAATCAGGATACCAGTAAATGACCCTCTGAAAATCGGAGATGTATTTGACGCTATATCATACAAAAAGGTGTGATGAATGTGCTCTTGAAAATCAATAAATCATTTCGCCAACTGTTATTTTTCTTTCCTCGAATCCTCGTTGTCCCTTCCGTTTTAGTTGTAATAGAAATGTTAAGAAATTAAATAAATATTTCTCTACAGCATACGAAAAGTCATAGCAGGATAAATTTAAGGTGAAAATTTCTTGACGGATCGTCCTGACTTGCTTATCAACGATGTTTCGCATTTTTTCCCACGGCATAGCAAGGCAAAAATCTCATGAAAAATGCACTGCCTCAGTGGCAAGGTCGTCAGTTCATGCTTTGCCTTTGAATGTCGCTGACTCACTGTTTCTTGGTTTTGTTTAATTTTGTTTTGTCTTTTTTTGTTTACATCTGTTTATAGGGTGGTTCCATCCTGTTGATGCTGCATAACTTTTTAGGAAATGCAGTATTCCGTGACGGACTCAAGGTGTGTTTGTTTTGGTTGAAAAAGTAAAGGAATTAAAAACGTTATTCTCCTCCTGACAGCTCTTTGGAGATCTACAGCACGCGTGCATTCATGTATGTCCCCTAGCTCCCTTTGTTGTACGCGGGACATTGGCTTCTATTCTTCGTATGAGAGGATTTGTCGATTGTTTCGAAGCAACGGAATAATGCATGCACAAATGAACTGAATAGAAACTGCACAGATTTGCGTCATTGTCCTCTCTTGACTGAAGACTAAGTCCCAGATTCGTTGTAAAGAAACAGCGTTAATTTCTCTGAATCTTTCTATGGTGAACAATTAATCTCACCACCTTTATCCCGATAAACGCAAACTCTTAAGGTATATCTTAGTCTCGTTTAGTTTTTTTCTTTTTTTACATTCAAACTATTTACCAAAGTACTTTGAACAAGATGGACAACCCTTGAAACCTTACTAACTTAGCTTTGATTTTGTATTTGTTTCTGTTTATTTGTTTTGTCTAGCGGTATCTCAATGAACACATCTACGGTAATGCAGACACTGATGATTTGTGGGACGCAATGGTTAAGGTGATTACTAGTCTTATGCTTTGTATTCTTTAGTGAATATTACCTTAACTTGACTTCATAAAAGCAACGGAATGAACGAGTAATATAAATAATCAAACGATTAAATATATTTAATCAATCGTACCCTAATGATGACCTGGTCTCGAAAACGTTTGATGACCTGGTCTCTTTTTTTGTTTTCAACAACCACCTTTTATAACGTTAAACTTTTTTTTTTAAATATATGGAGGCCAAAATTTTTTTTAGATTTTGGGCCATATAAACATAAAAAAAGTTTAATCAGGACTGTTGTTGTTGACAGTTGACGTTTCGACAACCTGTGCCCCGTCGCCATGTTATAACATTAATAACATCGCGACGTAATTGACCAATCAGATCAATAACCAGAGTATAATACTATGAACTGACGTAATATAACTCACTTTGACTCTGAAGATAACTACCGCACAGGTTGTCGAAACGTCAGTAACTGTCATCAACAACAGTCCTATTCAGGACTACTTTCACCCGGACGATCAAACTCAACCTACTTTTGAAATGACTACTTGGCTCAAACCTTTCACAAAGTAAGTTATGTTTATAACTTGGAGAAATGTTACGGAGAAGTATGAATGAATTGTTCATTTTACCGTCAGGCTGCAGGAAACTCGACTGTCAAAAATATGATGGACACTTTCACAAAACAGATGGGATATCCAGTGGTCACTATTACTAAGTCTAGTAAACCGAACACCTACTTGGCGACACAAGACCGCTTCTTGTATTACAGAGATCCAAAGGCGAACTATTCCAGTTCCCCATATGGGTAGGCAAAATAGATACCGTAAAATTCCGAAAATAAGCCCCTCCATGTACAAGCCCCTCCAAACCGGTAACGCAAAAAAACCTCCGATAAATCGCCCCTCCAAACATAAGCCCCCCCCCCCCAGGGGGGGGGGGCGCTTCTACTTGAAAAATTGCCCTTACAAAGAAAAACGTTAAATTTAATTCCAACTCAGAAGGCTAGCCCAATCGATTTTGAAACGCAAATTTCACTCCGTAGATAAGCCCCTCCGAATATAAGCCCCTCCAAAAATAAGCCCCTCAAAAAGGCCCTTCGAAAAATTTAAGCCCCGGGGCCTATTTTCCCAATTTTACGGTATTTATATATGTATTTATATAAAGTTGGTATCCGATCCCCTGGTATGGGCAGATGACATCGTTATGTCCACAAACATGAAAACTTTGTCGAGCTGACCACGCCACGTTTGGATACAAACTCGTTTGTGAACCGTGTAATAGCTTCAAACTGAAGTAAAAGAAGTTTTGTTTTATTTCTTTCGTGAGTTTTTTTTAAAGAATTTAAACCTAAGCTCTTGCATTACATTACTCCTGAGGGAATCAAGCAACAGTGTTTTTTGCGTCATCATGATATGCTGGCGGTGGTGGAACTGCGTTATTGGTATACAAAGTCGCGTTGAAAGCACGCTAGAACGAGAAAGTTGAACAGAATTTTTCTGGTTACAGGATAGGGGATCCAAGACAGTTTTGATTCTGGAATCCATGTCATGTATTCCAGATTCCAGGTACTGGATTTCACTGAGTCTAAGTCAGTGGAACTTAGAGTCTGGATTTCAGTCTTTGCTAGGATTCTGCTATTCCCATAGCTGTATTCCGGATTCCAAAGCCCAGTATTGCGCATTCCACAAGTATTGTTTTTCCTGATTCCTGCAGATTCCACGATTCATCCAGATTCCCTCCCATGGGGCGAATCAGCTCAAATCTTTCTGTGTACATTACGTATTTAGAATACCAAGCGGCTGAATGATTTCCATCTGTCATGAGGTTTTTACGCGGTTTTTGCTTTCCGGTAATGCAGGAAAAGACTCTGACTAAAATGGTTTAGGACCAGTAATTGGGAAAGATATGATGGCCGATCCGGCTACTTGTTTAAGTTTTTAATACTCATGATCTCATAACTCCTTTCCTTTTACATCATAGGTACAAGTGGACAATACCATTTTCGTACTTCATAGGAGCTAGCAGAACCTCCAACCCTCCAAGCAAGACTATGTTTAAGATAATCGAAGGCAATCAAAGTAAGATAGCCTTTTTTTATTATTAAACAGTGCTTCTTAAAGATGGAAAAACGTTTTGCTTATCATTTGACAAATTTGTCGCCGCCAGGTTAATAATAAGTAAATATGGCAAAAGTTGACAAAAAACACTGTTTTAATTTTAGTTGAAATTTCTTGGGATGGAAGCGGATGGATTAAAGGAAACATAGGACAGACGGGATTCTATCGGGTCAACTATGACAAAGGCACATGGACTGAAATAGAATTCCAACTCAACCATAATCATAAGGTAATTCCGAGCGTAGCGACTTTATAATCTCGTCGCGCGCGAAGCGCGAGTAGTCTGCTAACCGCGCGTGGTCTTAGCCAGCTGCAAAATTCGATGCGCCATAAATCTTTTCATGAATATATATTCTTGGTGTCCGTCAATGACGTCATGGAGCATTTTGCGTTTCCAGGCAACATAGACTTTGCCGCCGATAACCAAGGTTTTGATGTGTTTATTCATCGTCTGTGAAACAAAGTTTACTATCGGTGAATCACCAACAATTTCCCATGCAAATGAAACACAAGCACAGCAGGTGCAAAACCTCGCCCAGGAAGATTTTCCACCGAAACTCCTCTGGAACGAGAACGCCGACTTCAAATTTAGCGTGAACAACGAAGGAGAAGACGTCAACAAGAAACCGCGGAGGAGAGAGAACATTGGCCCAGCACAGCGAAGGCAACGCCACCAACAAGAGACAGAGGAACAGGAGATTGGAATCAGAGGCATTATGATCGTTTTACACTGTGGAAAACCCAGATTTCTTAGTTTGCCGGTTTCCCCGCCGATATATAGATCAACGGCTGCAAAGCTTCAGTTCAGTATTACGGCCCGAAGTATAATAATTCTCAGGCGAACTGCACTGCCATATTTGTTCTTTGTTTTTACCTTTTTCTAAATCCGGACGCCGAAATAATGCTAAATCTGCTTCTCAATACACCGTTAACAATAACACCACACAATACGCAAAAAAGAAGGAGAAGAAAAGAAAGAACAGCGTATGGACCTTTACGACGATATTCGCGGTTGGTCTCCCATCCAGTTCTTAACCCCGACCGTTAGGGCTTAACTTGAGTGCCGTTACCAAACCGAGCTTCGCGACGGTTATTGCGAGATACGTATTTCTAGTTATAATCATAACATTTCGGGGGTAAAACCAGACCGAACGAGCTGGCATCTAATTAAAAATTATTCCTGAAGCCCGAATGGGTTCTGAGTCAATAGCTTCGGCCTCATGGGCTATTGACTCAGAGGCCATTAGGGCGAGAGGAATAATTGTTTTAGTACTGAAAATGCAACTAGTTGGTCAAAAATATCGAGGAGAAACAACTTTAGCTAGCAAAACGCGATTCAGCCGCCATTGTTTTGGTTTTCAAAGCCGGCCCTTTTCGCTACTAGTGGGCTATAACATATAGCCTAGTAGTAGCTCAACCAATCAGAACGCAGCGCTGATGATAGACCACTGGTTGGATTTTACTAAATACAAATAGTTGATCCCAGAATGAGCGATTAACTTTATATAGTTACCCTAAACTGATAATACTTCGTTACTTTGTTTCGTCATTTAGTGATAACATTATGCACTTCTTTTTAGCAGTTGTTCAAAACATTTTTGGAAAGACTTCCCTTCATAATTGTTACAGGTTTAAAAAAAAACGATGACATAAATTAAGGATAACCAAACCTGGTAGTCACCCGCGGCTTACCCTATGGTTGATACAGTAACTGTTCTTCAAACAATTCTTCTTCCGAACGCGATTTTCTTTTAGTGAACTCTGATCAAGAAGTCCTATATTATTATTATATCAATATCAAAATAGATTAAAAACACCTATTACTTTATTTGCAGGTATTCAACGCAACAGATCGGGCAGGGCTCATTGATGATTCTTTTAACCTAGCAAGGTAAAAGAATGTTGATTTCTTCAAATTCATATTATCTTAGGTGAAAACAAAAGTCCTATTAATATCATTTGCACTTAATATGTCTTTCGTAAATCTTTTGAATCCTAGATTTACATTTAGAAGAAAAATATATGTCTACTTATTCATTTTTATTTTTTTCTGTTTTTAGGGCCAACCTTCTAAATCACACTGAACCGCTTGCCTTATCCACGTATCTAAGCAAAGAAGAAGATTATGTTCCTCTGTTAGCAGCTATGAGGAAGTTTTCAGCAATAATGAAAATTCTACCGCCCACTGTACCAGCTTACAAATATCTTCAGGTAATGGTTTTCACCAAAGAGCCATTAGTAGTATAGGGTGCACCAGCTACTCCAGTTTTCTGGGCAGGAAGAAACGACACGGGCCTTTTCGTGGGCTTATCTTATTACGATAACATCACGTGCTATTTTCGTAGTTTAACCATGCAACTTTGACTTTAAAAAATAGTACTCAGTTCAGAATAAAGACAAAATGGGATTACTTATATAATAATGAGTTCCACATTCAAATAAGCGCTCCACTTCGAAATTAGTATCAGTCCTTCTCGCTTCAGAAAGCTGAAACACTTCAAGGGCACCAGTATCAGAGCTTTAAGTAGATTAAGTCACAAAAATCCAAAATAACGGGCTACCACTTGGTAAGGTTTAAGAAGCCGATGTTCTTCAACGTTGAATTTCACTGCTAACCACTTAGCGTTTTATCTGAATCATTACTGTTGATTAAATTCTCAGAGATTCGTTAGAGAGTTAACCAAATCCCAATACGACTCACTTGGAATTAAAGATCAGGGAACGCATTTAGAAAGGTTCGTGGAAAATTTATTTTACTTCATAACCAGCATAGGTCGCTTCCTAGGATTGTAGCCAAACATAAGCCCGCTCTGTTGTACACTCAGTTTTGTAACAACGGTGGCCTCTGATTGGTTACCAGCCTTTTTAACGATTCATACTACTTTTGTTGATTTCGTGTTGAATGGATATGGAAAAAAATGTGAATAATGCGAAGGAACTTCTTTTAGGCCCGTTGAATAGGATGAGATCGCCATAAAGGTGAAAAAAAAAATTGAATTCAAGCGGTTTCACTATATAGGCAAGAGCGATGCTTCTCTTCAAATAAGTCTGTTTATAGAGACAACCATATCAGAAAGTCAAATTAAATTAAAAGTGGTGACTTAGATAGAAAAAAAAAGGGGGCGGAGGCATCCCTCTTTTAAAATAGTTCTTTTATTAATTAAGTTACCTTATTATTCATTCAAAATATTTCTCCGTTTCTGATTGGCTAAAAGCACACGCATAATTCACCATAACCAGCTTCCCTTGACCAAATTTGGAAGAACTTTGCGATTAATCAACCGATGACGTCAAAAGTGGAAGCACAGTTGCAGGGTAATGCACCGTCAACCGAGGAGACCTGGGGACGAGGTTGAGTTGTCTTGGTTGTGAACATACTGCGGAACATTTTACTCGTTTCAGGACGAACTATTGCCCAAAAACATAGCAAAAAGAAAACTCGATAGACAACATCTGCTATTTGGAGTATATTTGTAGATCTAAACAGCCTGTATTTTCTAAAAATCCACTATCGAGATGAACTTTACATCGACGAAAGTAAGCATGTTTTAACTTGTTTTTAAACTAGGAATTATTTTGAATGAATAATAAAGCAATTAATGAATTGGCTTTCGTAGGATATGAAGAATTAGGCAGATCTTGGAGGGTGTTATCCACCTTAGCCCGAGAAAACAGCCGACATTTTGTGATGCTACCACCGGCATGGTTTCCACGAGAAAGTAAAACCAAATGAATGGTGGAGTTGCGAAATGACGGCTGTTTTCTCAGGCTAATTAACTTGTGGCTCTCCCAGTGGTGGACACTTTTCAGTTCGAATTGGACTTTCAAAAGTGTTGGCTTCCTTAAAGAGAGAGGGAAAACCTGGGTACCTTGAGAAAGATTCAGAGGAGAAAACCAGCATCAAGGCCTCAAATGACGTCGTTGCCGGTACTTGAACCCCGTCTGTCTGTAACCCGAGCTCCAGTGGTCACCAGAATTGTCGGTGGGAAGCTAATGCTCTAACCACTAACCATGCACTACAACATACCTCTTCCCCCTGGTCCTGATCTAAATTCTTGTATGTTTTCTTCTCTTTGCTTTTCTTTTAATAGGCTTAAGAGGATCCTTTTAATTAATTCCAATTGTGCAGCAGGCTTGGCAGCATGCCTGGGAAATATGACGCAGCTGTTTGGCAAATGGATGGCAGATCCTGTGAAAAATCCGTGAGTTTTGTCTCGTTTTAATCATTCAATCGTACCGCGTGTCTATTCATTACATATCATAGATGATGTCAAAATTTAAATGTAGTAAGAACAAAGGATCGGAATGGCACCCCAAACACACGCGAGTGTGTCTCCGGTGTTCTTACTTTTGTGACCCCCCAACAGGAAAGTTAAACAAAGTAAGTTTAAACGTAAAAACATAACTAAAATTTTCTTAATCACTCAGACGGTTGCGCATAGATTTGGCAGTCTTCTTTTTTAATACGAACAATTCTATCGAAATAAAATGGTTACTTTGACCGTTATTCCTTTCAGGGTTCCAGCAGACCTTAAGGCTCCAGTTTATCATTATGGTGTATTAACTGGAGGCGAGAAAGAATGGGACTTTGCATACAGTCAGTTCACTAGCACGAATGTTGTGTCGGACAAACGGCTTCTGCTCCATGCAATGGCGGGCGCGCAACAACCATGGCTCATTGAAAGGTTCTTTACTTCTTTTATTAAATCACCTCATCAAATGTGGGCTATTCCTTCGAGTTCAAGTGCCCATCTTTTGTAAATTTCAAGAAAAGTAGCCAAAACTTATTTAGTTCACCAGAGGGGGCCAGTGGCGCTACCCTCATACCTTACTGCTAACGCCAAGCTTTTGACAGGGTTCAGGGTCGGACTCTCGCTGTTAGATCGCCCGGTTACGTTTTATGTGGCTGGACAAAGGTCCTTTCACCTGATCGTCCTTTCACGATTCGACAAACGAGAATCCAGGTTCTAGCTTATTTCTAAATATGACGTCATTAGCGTGGATCCACACGATCCATCCTGCAACCGCGATTCTGTACTGACTTATTGTACAGATGTAGGTGGGCTATACAGTTATTTGTGGCCGAAACATCCAATAGGGATATTCTTCTAACATCAAGCAAAGTAGGTGAATGCAAAAATTTATTTTACCACTACACTGATAAATTTGCACGGGATTACCAGGGTTAAAAATCGTCTCTTTGGATTTTGCATTCTTTGTTAGAGAGATCTAGTGACTAACAATCTGGGACCAGAAAAGTATTTTTAATTAGAATTCGCGAAGAGGGTGCCGTTGGGTTGTTCATAGTTATGTTGTGTCACTAATTTTAAATCATGTGTTTCCCTCTTCTGTATTATCCAGGCTAGTGGTTTTTTATTGTTATGTTATTGTCTTTTTTTTCCCTCAGACCCCAAATGAATTTTTCTTTTTTACAGTTGTTGTTAGATAGCTCTTTTTAAGACTTTTTCACTCATGTGTTTATTACTTTTGTCTTATCTCTACACATTTTCATTAATCATAAGCTATAATCAGTGACAAAAGTAACTGGCACACTTTTCTAAAACGCGCACTTTTATTAGCAATTCGATTCATTACTTAAGAAAGCCTTGAGGGCTTAGAATACAATATTCGTTGGTAGTCATTTAATGGAAGCTTCTCAAAACCTTAATTAATGTCCTTCATTCTAATTAGACCTTTTTTGTCTACTCTGTCACAGGTATCTTAATTACGCACTGGACCCTACGAAAATCGGACGCACCCACACCTATTATGTGATTTACTCCATTTCTGAAAGCAATGCCATGGGCACTAATATCGCATGGAATTTTTTTCAACTAAACTGGGAAAAAATAACAAAAATGTGAGTACAGATGCCAGCCAACTATTGCAACTGTACATGATGTACATGTCAGAATATTATGTATTTATAGACACTCACACCGTTTTTATTTTGGGTCTTTTTCAAGTTTTTGATAAAGACCAGTTAACGAACATTCATTGACACTGCTGCAAAGAGCGCCTTAAAATTAGGAAACTTACCAAATTTAAGGGCGATACGTTATTAAAAGTGAGTGAAGTTATTGTCGCAAAATTTTACACACGTTTTTATGGTGGCAGCTTGAAACTGCTCCCCGCCAACAAACGTCCGTAAAATTCAGCATTCTTGCCGAGCTATATCTTCGTTTATTTTCAAGAAATCAAGTTCAAATTTGGCACCTTTAATTATTATATGACGTTCTTTTCAGCCTTGTTGACGGACTTTCGCAAGCAAGTGGTCCTAGTAATTGTTGAAAAAACCGTAGAGTGATCTATTGTTATTCTTTTTTTTTAACTGTGTTTTTATCCACTAAACGTTCACACTAAAATATTTCGATAACACCCTCGTGAAATTTGCTCAAACTTTGCAAACACATCGAATAAAGAATAAGACTAATCCCTCGTGAAAATGAAGTGTCAGAAAAATAGGTAAAGACGTTAGTACGTTCCTATGAAAACTTCAATGTCAGATATCAGTTATGTAGTAGTCTAGTCATAACAGTTTTTCTCGAAGACTGTGGTGACTGTCTTGCGATAGTTTTGTTACTTGAGACGCGATGGGAGTTACTAAAAATTCCAGTCAAGTCACCTTAAACAGCTTTATTAATTAAAATACCTGCGAAAATCAGACCTTTGAGTATATCCTAGCCACCGAAATGTTATGAAGTCGCTTTATTAGTGTTGCTGGCACCTGCTAACTATAAAGACTCTTCAAATAATGAATATGTCTTGACTTAAACATATATAGTATTTATATCAGTGTCTGGGTTAGATACTAGATTTTTTTAGCTTCTTTTGTATCCAGTCGATTTAAATTTTCTTAAAACATAGCCAGTCTTAACGTCTTATTGATGCTGACAGTTTCGATGACTGTCAGCCATCTTTATCAGAACTTGAAAAACATTAAAAGTGTCAGAAGCCTTAAATAGGCTTCTGAAGGTGTTAATTATTGCGATAAACGCGCAAAGTCACTCTGTAGACGCCCCCTCCCCCCTGGTTTGGGGGTGGAGATCACTTGTGTCCATATGAGAGAAAGCTGATAGGCTCCCTCGTCCCTGTTCATAATTAATGTTTTTCAAGTTTTGATAAAGATGGCTGACAGTCATCGAAACTGTCAGCATCAATAAGACGTTAAGACTGGCTATGTTTTAAGAAAATTTAAATCGACTGTTTAACTTCACTAGCCTGATGAATTTCTTCAAGAATTCTTTTGTATCCGTATATCCTAGGTTTGGAGGTCCATATAACACATTGAGTGGCTTTGTTCCACTTTTGTCCAAGCGATTCTCAACAGAGTACCAGCTACAAAAGGTACGAGAAGTTTATCACCTGCTTTTCATACAGCGATTTCTTAAATAAAATCACCAACACAACCCTGAAAAACCCTTATTACGATCATGACAATAAACAACAGTCTCATTAAACCGACTTTTTGCATTGGTTATATTACGAGACGGAAACGAGCTTAATGAGAACAATCGCGCTAAGTTAATAACTTATCTTTCAGCTTTTTTAAAATTGTTTTGTTACTGTAAGTTAAATTAGTACGCAAGGTAGCCAAAAAAGGGATATTTTATTAGGCAGGATAGTTATATTTCAGTGCTTGCAATTTTTTACGAGTTATAAAAAGCAACGGAAGGAAAATGCTCTTAAAAGACATTTAAGTCATCGCAATGTGAAAACACTGAAGTAGCACAAGAAATAAACAATGAAAACCGTAAAAAAAACTTTCAGCAACTTCTTGCCTTCCCTGAAAACGTTATCATTATAGTTTTATTTTATTTTATTATTTATTTTATTTTATTTTTGTATGAGGGGGGTACGTTTAGGCTAATCGCTAGCAAATTCTTTAAGTATATATTTTCGCGTAACTGCAAAGAAATGTACATCAAGTAACTACTGCGCCCTTCAAGAGCATCAGTTCGGCCGAAGTTGACGCATGATAGCACTAAATTCCATTTTTTTTTTCTTTCAGCTCCAGGATTTTATCGCTAGTGTAGTTAAAGGTGGACCTTTATCATGGAGTGTTCAACAGGCCATAGAGAGAGTCAAAATTAATATTCAGTGGAGAAAAACAAACGAAAAGGATGTAGAAAAGTGGCTGAGGGACTATTTCAACAGACCCGTAAAACCAACCTTCGGCCCTCCAGCAAAATGAGGATATGTCGTTATTCAAGACCAATATTTAACAATTATTCCTCGAGCCCGAATGGGCTCTGAGTCAATAGCTCATGAGGCTTAAGGCCGAATGGGCTATTGAATTTAGTAAAAACTAACTAGTTGGTCAAAAATATCGAGAATAAAAAAATTTTAGCTTGTCAAAGCCTGCGCTTTTCGCTACTAGGGGGCTATAACATATAGCCTAGTAGTGGCTCAGCCAATCAGAATGCAGCATTGATAATAGACCACCAGTTGGATTTTTTAATAGCTAACATTGCCAGAATTAAGCCACGCGTCAATTCGGGGCACATAAGTGTTAGCCTAAGAAAATAGCCGACATTTTGGGGAACACCTCTGGTTTCCCCACGAAATGTAGGTTGTTTTCTTAGGCTAACAATTATGTGCCCCGAAAACCTGACGGGCGGCTTAATTCTGCATGTTATTGTCCCATGATGACTTGTTGTCTGCCTCTACGACGACCAGCTGCAGTGTCGCAGTAAAAAATCTACGCGTATGCTAAAAAAGAGGGGTGGTGACCAAAACCTCTTTCTTCAAGACAACCTCGTCCCCAGGTTCTTTCTCCTAACTCCCCTCTCTCGCTCCGTAGGGCGGGTAGGAGAGAACCCTGGTAACGAGGTTGTCTTCACGAGAGCTTAGTCTGTTGACTTAGCTCCACACGCCGTTTGTTTAATACCCAAGGGCTTGTGATCTACTGCTAAATATATCATATCAATCTATCTAATTGCACAGTTATAACGTGACAGCTTACTAAACTTTCTTTATTGTTTGAAGATTAACTTTTTTTGTGCCATTATTTAGAATGTTAACAAGCTTTTGCAACTGATTTTGTCTACTTATCAGTTGTCTGACCTTTTCCCTGAGTAGTTTCGTTAATTCCTTATTTAATTTACGGAAAATTCCGCAAGCGGGTCCACCAGTGTGGGTATTGCCTAGTGGACGATTCAGTCAGTCGGCTGACTCAGACTTTTCAGCTTTGCTATGTATTGTTGAAAAATATTGTAAGATCTAGGCCAATCTCGTATCCAGATTACGGAGTGAGATCTGGAAACGAGATTAGGTTCCAGGCGATAGCCGGTAGCCCGACATAGTTGCGAAAAATTCCTCAAAGCTGCTTATCTTATGCATTATCTTATGCATGTCTTGTGCGGTGAAACGCCATCCCGAGGAAAGGGCATAGCAGAAATATAATATTGAACTTCATTAAAAACTGAAATTACAACATACAAACTTAGATGAAGAAGGATGGGAGCAAAAACATTTACCGCCGTAGAATGACACAAAATCCTCTGCCATTCAAAAAGCTGTATAACACATTGCAGCTGTAGTATGTCCCATATCATCCTGCTCTTCTCTCAATCGTGCCGTCAGAACATTATTTTATACCTGACCAATTTGTTCCCAATTATTTCTGTCGTCAGACATTTCATTTTAACAAAACTTAACTTAGCTATTTGAGTAGCAATATCAACTAGAATTGCTTAAAGAATTACTTAAAAGTTGAGTTTGCTGGTTGAGTATTTACCAACATTCAGCCTACTTAGAAACTCATGCGATCGTACATTTCAAACAATCAAATAAACGCTGCGACTGAAATTATAAATCTGTTGTTTACAATCCTCGATTAACACCTGCCGAATTAAGGCGGAATTTATTTTTCCTTTGCGCCCTCCATTGACGAGTTGAAAGCAACGCATTGAGAATCTGTTTAAATACAGGCAGCTCAAACTTGCAATTCATTTCTCTGTTTAAAGGACGACAGGGTCGAAAATTTGAAAACCCAGGGGCCCCACTCACATATTTTAATGACGGGGGGGTCCGAAGGATTTTTTTGGGTCTGACATTTTGGCCAAAAGGGATTTTTTGGGGTCTATGAAAGACGCCGGGATTTTTTTGGGTCGCGAAAACAACAGAGGGATTTTTTTGGGTATTGCATTTTTCATCAGCTCAAATAAAAAATAACAAAAGCGCAATTTATAGTTTTGTTTTTGACCAAAACCAAAGTTGAAGTTGGCATGTTTTAGCTTTCCAGAAAATAAATAAAATTTGCTGATGCAAAAACACTGAGGGATTTTTTTGGGTATGCTAAAAAAAGTAGGGATGTTTTTGGGTAGACAAATTCTAAAGTTGGGGTTTTTTGGGGTATAAAATATGAACCTCTGTCGGCCCCCCCCCCTCCCACGTCATTAAAATATGTGAGTGGGGCCCCTGGGTTTGAAAAGATCTCATTTATATCTCAAGAGATGAAAGTATGTTTCAGTGTAGGTAACCATTTCTTTCTTTTCACATTAAGCTAAGCTATATTCTAAGGTTTCAAATTTGATTTTTCCCGTATAAACCCTATGAATGTTCCATACGTTACGTAGTCGCAGAAGCAGGAGCGTGACACGGTATGTGACATTGCTTAAAAAGCGTTCGAATGTAAGGTTGGGCTGCCTGTGATTTTTGAAATTGGTTTGTTTTAAGAGAAAAGTGTACGCCTTCTGAAGTTGTTATATGCCTTAATATTACCTGATTTAAAAGGATCGGAGAAGTTTGTCATGCGATTGATAATGCAAATGTTTGCAATCCGTTGTGAAGCAAGACAAACAAATATAAAATCATAATTCCTGAACTTCTCCTTGCATTTCTGGGTGTTAAGAGTCTATGACTGTTGTAATAACACTTTTGTTCATCTGAAACAGTTGGATGAAGAATCGTGAAGGGGTGAACAGGGATTTAGTAGATGACACCGTTGATATTAGCCTGGATATCGCTCGCGTACAGGAAAGGTCAGGCTACTTGCTATTTTCTTTGAATAACTAAAATGTGTTTTGAAGCAATTAAATTCTTAAAAAAAGGTCCTTTTTTTTGTTATTTAAGACTATATTTATGCAGTGAAACTCATTCCTATCGTCTGATACTACGGATGGCAAGGATGGGCATGGATTCAGAAACCTGGAAAAGTTGGGCCACCTTTTTCAAGTTTTAATGCCGTAATACCTACAGAGATTTGTTTGATATCTTCTCCGTAACTCTACAGGAGAATTTTGTGTATGGGTAAAGGCGCTAAGTAATGACCTCAGCACAGAATAATGGCCTAAAAAGAGCAATCATGATCCTCATCCGTAGCCCCTTAATTCGACATCTTTTCATTGCCTCTTTAAGCAAGGTGTATTCTTCAAATCAACCAGTCAAGTTCTTAAATGGCTCTGTGGTACCCTATGTATATCATAAACTAAGAGATCTTAGGCCCGGTTCAGACGCCGAACTTTTCATGAGCCGAACCTAATTCGAATAAAGGGCGACCCAATTTATTTAGAGTGGCTGAATTGATTTAGACGCAGATCTTAATTCCAGCCGAACTAAATTGAAAAGGAGAAAAATACTCATTTCGGTCAAACTACTTACAAAATACGCTATAATAATTTATGCATTAGGTTCGGTACATGAAAAGTTCGGCGTCTGAATCAAAGCCGTTCCAAAGTCGCTCCAAAAGCGGAATTCCCGGCCAGGCTAGGCGAAACAGGCGTTCCTAATTGATTCAGACGTCGAACGTTTCAAGTACTTAATTTAATGTATTAGGTTCCGCTCAGTGAAAAGTTCGGCATCTGAACCGGGCCTTAAGTGCAGTCTTCAAATAGGGCGGAAAAAGCTCTTTAATTAACAACACAACGAAAAAAGCAGGACGTGTTTCGATAGTTTAGATTTTTGATTTCATTTACCAAGTCTGTGTTCGTAGGGTCAATAGGGTAAATAGGTATTGGCTTTCTTACTTGTTTAGGCAGAATGCCGAGTTAGTTATGTCTGTCTGACGATCGGTATTTGCTCGAAAGTTCTAACTAGCTGTCGTGACTGCTATATGCGTGACAACTTTATGCATTAATTAAGTGTGCATATCAACTTAGAAACTCGATTTGACAAACCCGTACCCTTTTCAACTCTGGGCCTTACCAAACTGAATCAGATTACCGAAGCAAATATTGAGTTACCCTGCAGCGGTTTAAATAGTACTTAACTGCTTCATTTTTAGCATTTTTATATGATCAAACATTAAGCTTAATGCCTTAAAATGTTGACCTTGACCAACTGATAACAGAAAGCTGAAATTATTGTTTCCTTTGTACGAATGAGTTATTTTCCACTTTGGTCGAGTCGTAATGATAAAAGGAAAAACAAAGCATAACAATTTATGTCTCAAGGCATCCAGAAAAGAAAGAAATGTAACTTGAAAAGAAGTTTACTACCGTGGCGAGTTTACTAAAAATAACCTCAAATGTCTGTTAAAGGTAGAGGTCATAAAATCATCATTAAAAATAACATCTTCCGTGTTAGCAAGAGAGAATATTTTGATGCTAAACTGGCAGTTTAGTGGGTTCTTAAGAGCCTTTTATACTACGTTTGCACAGCTGTTTTGCTCCATTGTATTAGCCCTTTTTTGTGATATGACGTATTGAATCTACTTTTATTGAAGCTTATTATTTATCGGATCTTGTGAGTTCCGGGAACCATGGTGGCGTTTTCCGAGAATTGCCTTAATTGCTCTGAGCATGCGCATGTAAATAACTTGACCAGAATGATAGAATTTGCTTCGCTTGCCAAAATATCTAGATGCAATTTTCTCTTAATTTAAGAAAGGCACAGAATTTTATTTAGTCATTCATCACTGGAAGATTCAGGCTTCAGCACACAGAAAAACGGTATATGAATATCGAAACTTTCAAATGTAAGTAAAATGAAAATTAAGTCTTATGAAATTGTTTCCTTATTTACTCAGTGGGTTCGTGCGTTAGAATGGCGAGTCGTCGCCAGCAAGGCAAGAAACATAATTTTGTGCCAAAGCCAAAAGAGATTACGCTGAGCATTTACATCTGGACAGATCGCTATCCAACTAAAGGAGAAAGGCGAACACTACTCGAAGACTTTAACAACCTTCTTGAAGCTCACAAATACCACGTTAAGGAAGTGGGTGAGCCTTCGGACATTGGTCTCAATGCCCGCAACATCAAAATCAGTTTAAAGACAACAGAACACCGGACGAAGTTCAAGTTTTTCAAGAAGCTCAGGGAAGACTGGTCTTCCTCAATTTGTAAACTCGGAGAGCCCTTTTGGCTAGAGTCAGCGGAAACATCCCGTGAAACGTTCAAATACAAATTTGATGATACAAGGCAAGTCCTACAAGCCTCTTTCTTCAGCTTTGGCAATTTTCTCGACCGCGGAACATACATACAGCACTGGTCCAGCGAAGAAAATGACAGCCTCATCGAAAACGGAAATATTCAAGTCGAGTTTGAGCATGATACCAAACTCCTCTCTCTTACTTATTTCAAGAACGGCGCCCCGGAAGGTTTCAAAGAGGTCCGAATTGAAATGGAATTCAGGCAGTTGGAAGATTACATTGTTGTAGACGAAAAAACTGCTCAGAGAAATGTCAAGTTTTATTTTCTGCTTCAGTGGCCGCCAAAAGTACTTCAAGGTAAAAAATAAGGAAATAATAAATAAATGATTAAAACTGCAAAGACACAGAGATCGTGGGTTTCAGTGAGTACTTATAATTTGAAACTGCACCGATGTTCAAGCAAAAGCAAATGAATCAACAGTTTAAGAAAAATGCTCTTAGTTTTTGTATAACCTAACCTGAGAAATACACAGCCGAAAGTTAGTAACGCCAACAATCACCCCACCCCCTCCAGCCTGAAATGAGGTTCTGAAGAACGAGCGCAAAAGTTCCATATTGATAACGGGTCACTACCCGACGTACTTGTTTACTAAATTCAGTAATAACGGATCATTGTTTTTATAGATTTGTATATATTCCTTTTTTATCGTTATGAATAAGATGGTTTAATAGTTGCTTTAGTTTTAATTTTTTCCTTTTTTACTCATTGTAAATATAATAGGATATAGTTGTAAATTTGTAAATATTTTTCAATAATGTTGTTTACATAACTGTAAAGCTCCTTGAACATAGGATAAGAGCGCTATAGAAATAAAGTTATTATTATTATCATTATTATGATTATTATTATTATCAAGGTTGTGCTTCTCATTGGTTGAAAATGCACTCATCTCACTTACCTTTAACACTTTGCATGCTGTACAGCTTATTTTTATCGACCCTCTTTACTTTCGCCTTTGGCTTTTGTAACGCTCAGTACAATTGTATCACCCCTTGCTTGCTTACTTGCTTATTTCGAGCGAACTCGAACTCCATTAACTAACTTTATCCATTCCTTCCGGTTTCCCATGATGCTCTTCAGTTCAGCAATGCTCAAACCAGTATCATTTCGCAGTTGGCCCCGGTTGTTCAAACGCTGGATAGCGCTATCCACCGGATAAATCACTATCCAGCGGATAAGTATTACGGAAATCAATTACGCTATCCGCTGGATAGTGATTTATCCGGTGGATAGCGCTATCCGACGTTTGAACAACCGGGGGCAGGTCTACAGATGTTGTTGCTGGTCTTCCTCTCTTTCTTGCGCCGTGCTTTGGTTCCCAGAGAAGTAGATCAATCAATCAATCAATAAAGCTTTATTAACGGTATCACTTCATTAAAAATGCTCTTCTAGTGAGCCTTTTACATAACAAAATTTTCAGAGAAACTACATTAATGCTAAAATATATCTATATATTAAGAAAATCTATCCTATAATTAATTACACAAAAATCAATCAACCTTAAAGGTACATTAAATAACTGAAATAAAATTCTATCTCAACTCCCTCAAGTCAGTCCCTGGTTCAAGACAAAGATAGGGCAGACTTGAAAGAGTTGAGATTTATCTCGTCTTTTAGCACATTTTCTAGGCCATTCCACATGACTGCTTATCATTATTATTATTAATTATTATCATTATTATGCCTTATTATTATTCCACATGATCACTTATCACCTCATCCTTTTTTCTCCAACATTGTCCTATAAAACGCAGCCTCCTGATCATCAGTGTATCTGTAATCTTAGGAAGGTTACCGTACAGTTGTTTGTTGGTTTTATGTTCCTTCCAGGAAACTCCAGGAACTGCTCTGAGCATTCTTGTGTACGTACCATCTAGTCTATTCCTCATCATATACTAATGACATATAATTTATTAACATCATCTTTGTTGTGCAGAGGTACAAGTCAATAACCACACCAACTATGACCGCCTTACCAGCTTCTTAGGATGCAGACGAGAGGTCCTTGGTTCCAGTTCGGTATTATGCCTCAGCTTTCAGCTTCCTGGAGGAGCTGACGAGGATGAAGTTGACTCCCCACTGGGACTCATGGCTTGTCTTTCAATCAGAGGTAAAATAATACCCTCATTTCCATGCAACGCTTGGCCTGTGAAAAAGGTCTTCCAATGTGGTAGGGGAAGCGTCTTTTAAATCATGAGCGGAATGTACCTAACATGTATCCCATAAACCTATTTTATTTATTTATTTATTTTCACCGATAAATTCACAGGCGACTCGGAAGGAAAGAGTTCACTTTAGGTTCCCACAGGAACATATCTTATTTACTAGTTAGATGCCCCACCATTGAGATACAAAAGAGTCGTGAGAGCTAAGATCATTTAATTTTTGATAGTTTTTCCTTTAGAAATGAACAAGATCAGAGTTGGAACACTCTGTTGTACAAAGGATCCGCCATCATTGTAGATCTGTAAATCGCTTTTATGCTGATTTGTGTTCCTTGTCTTATTCGCTCCTGTTATCTTCTTATCGTCGTATTATAATAATTGATTCTTTCTTTCTTTCTTTCTCGTTGGGACCTCGGTTCCGTTTGTTTGCCCCTTATTAAGCCTGGTCCAAAAAGATTTGGGATCTTTACTTGAACTTTCTGAATCAAATTAATAAATAAATAAATAAGTCGACCTCTTCTTAGAGTCTTGCAACTATTGTATTATTACAGCTTCTTAAAGTTAGGAAAGAAAATCTGAAACAAAAAATGAAGCGTGCTAATTTGGTGAAAGCCTGTGGTTCTAGATCTGAGTGATGTAATAAGTGCCATATATTTTATATACTAGGCTTTGCTATGAAGTTTGGAGCTGTTCGTAGAAAATCTCCTCGAGGTCCCACAGAAGAACCAATGAAGCCTTCATTTTCAGACTATAAGATCACGTACGCTTTGGAATGCCTTCTGTCCAGGGGATGCAAAGTACGTGATCGTATTTCACGACGTTTTTACGATCTGTTACGAAAGGCCACCGACAGATATGAATCACTTCTTGATAATAAACTTGTTTCCCCTGAAAGGGTATGCAACGCGCTTTACAGATTAGTAAGTTTTGCGGACAATGATCGCTTCATCCCTCTTGAGCACCATTTGGAAAGTTTATTGTATGGAGAAATGAAGCATTCTACAGCATTTGAGTTCGAGCTTCCAAAGCATTACGTTTACATTCCGCGTCTCATAGTAACCCCGACCCAAGATTTCCTTGTGCTGCCAGAGCTAGTCGCAGAGAATCGAGTAATCAGAGACTACGATCATAAGCAGGCAATGAGAATTGCATTTCGAGAAGAAGACTTTTCCAAGCTTGCATCCACTTACCCAGATGGCCTTGAAAAAGTGTTACAAGAGCGCGTCAGAGATCTCCTATCGCACAAAATTAAAATTGGTGGTCGAGAATTTGAGTTTTTGGCATGCTCCAACAGCCAGTTACGCGATCACGGTGCGTGGCTGTATGCAACTGACGGAGATCATACTGCTGCTCAGATTAGACAATCACTAGGGCAATTAAATGAAATCAGATGCGTTGCGACATATGTGTCAAGAATGGGCCAGTGCTTTTCCTCCACGAAAGAGGCTGTAACTGTGAGAATTGAAGACGGGTGCAAGATCGGAATGATACCAGATATAGAAGTAGAGTACCAAAATGTGTTCTTCAAGTGTTGCAACAGCTGGAGATCTGGAACTTACACTTTCAGCGATGGAGTTGGAAAAATTAGCAAGGCTTTGGCCAGGAAAGTAAGAGACTAAATTATTTATTGCCATATTGTTATTTTACGAGGCAAAAAATAGAATACTGAAAAAACTAGTAAGGAGGAGGTCATGTAATCATTCTTTCAATTTTATTCCGGCATTTTACAGTTGTGCTATGATCATGTACTGCTGACGTGGCGGGATCAGGCCTGAAATGACATGAATATCTGCATAAATTCTTCACATCATACACAGCTTCATTCAATATATAGTAGTTAAGTATTAACATCAGAAGTTAGATGATCTAACAAATCTACCAAATCTTATTGAAGCGAACGACGTAATATCTTATCCCTAAGTCTTTTAACAAAGCACATGCTGCTCAGAATGTGGCTGGAAAATGTTCCGAATATGTACCGAATATGCATGTTAAAGGATCTCAAAGAACTTTTCGATCTTCTTTAAGGTGTGTTCCTATATTCTTTATAATTTCCTGAAGATTATGGAATATTTCCAGCAATTGTATTACTTCGTTTTTTCCTTTCAGGTTGCAGACAGCCTTGATCTGGACCCGATTCCATCGGCTTATCAGATTCGCTTTCAAGGTTGCAAGGGGATGTTAGCAATAGATCCCAGTCTTCCAAATGGTGACGTCAAAGAGATACTGTTGTATCGAAAGAGCATGAACAAGTTTGTATCATCTCACTCTGCGCTAGAGATCTGCGAGGCAACAAGACCAAGTGAGTTGGGCAAATCTTGTTGTTAAGTTGTCTTTTTTTAAAAGTTATTTGTATGTTAATTGTTTGTTTGTTTGTTTGTTTACTCTTACAATGAATGGAAAACGCATCATATGAACTGGGATTTAAGATGGATATCTGTTAAGGTGATTCGCTGGTTTGGCACTGCGCATTTTTACTGCGCATAACAGGCCGCCGAGAAAAAGAGCATCCAAAGTAACATTATTAAGATGATATTGACTGAAGAGAAACGTCATTAGAATTTTCGGTTGCGGTTGATTCTTGCCGATATGAGACAATGTGTTGGGAATGTGCATAACGTAAGCAGTACGCGTGTTGCTAAGTTCGACTTTATCGGGGAGAACCTCGATCGAGTGGACGTTAATCGTGTACTATCTCACTTTGATTTTGTTTTAAGAGTCATCTTTATCGCATTTCGTCCCACCTGTGATATGTCGATGTAAATTCTGAAAAAAAAAAAACAGATTATTTAATGCCTTCTTCCCCTTCCACATACATGCCTTTTGAAACCCGCCCCAGTCCTCTCTCAATAATCGGAGAAAATGCATGTGGTGCGCACTTTCTACATTTTAAGGAGAATTGGCATAAATCTATGTTCAGTTTGTACGGATTGGGCTATCACGAGTCGAATAGCGCGTGTACAAATTAAGTCTACTTTAGAGCGTAAAGTAAAAACAAGGGCATAAAAAGGCATTTTTTTCTGGTACGTAAATGGATAAACAATACATTTAAATCAAATTGTGCGCGGTACCACGCGCATCATCGAAAATATTTCTCCTTTTTGTCTAGTTTTGGGCTGCACGCGGTTTTTGCCAAAGGGTCCTAAACAATCTCGACCCAGAGCTCTTCTGCGCATGTAGAGGAGAGAGATCAGCATTGTGACTTCAAAACGAGCACGGTGACCCCTACTTTTAATTACTTTTTTGTCATCTTATTGACTTGGTTCATCAGTTTACCAAGTTTTATCTACAATCTACGTTAGGTTCTTTTACTAAGGAATCATGCACCTTAAACAAGAGAGAATGACCTTCTCAACTATCTCCCATCTATCAACCAACTATCTCCCATCCACTCTGCATTTATGTCCAATTTGCATTTTTGTCATTTTTAGCTTTGGTTAATTTAAGACAACGGGGCAAATGCTGATCTAAATCTATATCGGCTTTAAACAAGTACTAGGCCTATTTCACCGATTAAAGTCGCTGATAACTCCATGGGATGAGCAAAAAAGTAGAGGTTTTTACTTTGGGGTAAGTGAATCTTGCAACCGCTTTACAAAACAGGGCGGCTAGAGTTGTGTTGCAAGTGAGTAAGTTTCAGCATATCACACCTGTTTTGTGTGAGCTTCACTGGCTACCGATTCAATATCGTATTATTTTCAAGATTCTGCTCGTCGTGTATAAATCACTGAATGGGACATCGCCTAGCTATTTAGCTCAAAAACTACATTATCGTTCTCATACTAGATCATTGAGGTCTGTTAGTAATGAACTTTTAATGCAACCTAGGTCGTATACCAAGACCTACGGAGATAGAGCATTCGCTGTTCATGCACCAAGAGAATGGAACTTAATACCCTATGAAATTCGGAAGTCCAACACCATCTCGAGTTTTAAAAGATCACTTAAGACGTACTTGTTTACTAAATTCAGTAATAACGGATCATTGTTTTTATAGATTTGTATATATTGCGTTAGTTTTAATTTTTCCCTTTTTTTATCATTATGAATATGGTTTAATAGTTGCTTTAGTTTTAATTTTTTCCTTTTTTACCCATTGTAAATATAATAGGATATGGTTGTAAATTTGTAAATATTTTTCAATAATGTTGTTTACATGACTGTAAAGCGCCTTGAACATAGGATAAGAGCGCTATAGAAATAAACTTATTATTATTATTATTTATCGAGATATCCTTTGTTTAATAATTTTCAGATCTTTTGTACCTTAATCGACAGTGTATCATCCTCTTAAGTGGCCTTGGGGTTTCGGATGATACATTTATAGCTCTGCAAGACAAAATGCTTCGCAGCCTTGCTCTGATGTTACTTTTTGAAATGGTGGCCTTGGACACCCTCCGTCACGTAAACATCCCTGGTGGCATAAAAGTGACAGCGTTGTCGCGTAGTGGCGTGAAGTTCACACGGGAACCGTTCTTTCGCTCTCTCCTCTTGGCGATATACAAGAGTCGACTGGGAGACTTGTTACGAAGAGCCCGGATCGCCATCCCAGAAACCCACGGGCGACTATTAATGGGCGTCATAGATGAAACGGGATTTCTACAGTATGGGCAGGTTTTTGTTCGTTACTCAAAGCTGGTCAGTGAGCCAGGAAAAGAATTAACAACTCTAAAAGGCAGAGTTGTGATAAGTAAAAACCCTTGCTTTCATCCAGGTAAAATTTATTTTGAAGTTAATTCTTACGAACAGCTTATTCAAAGTCCTTTCCATTATGTTTCGAAAAACCAGAATATGATTTACACGAGAACATCGCATGAGAGTCAAAGCCGCAAAAGTTAGATCTGGCCGGCGAGACCAATCATCTTGAAAATGAAATGGGTTTTATTGGATGAGGGTTTTCGCTAAGAGGGCTGCTGGGCATAGTATTTGAGAACAGACTAATCTGGCCGAACAGATCTGTTTAAGAGCGGAATTCTCTTAGTTCACAAATGGGAAGGTCTGGCCTGCCAGTTCTGAGTTATGCCAATCCCTTATTTCCATTTGTTTCGGTTGTACAGTGAAGTAATACAGCAAGTCGAACTGTCGAACTTGCGCTTGAGTGATTATTGCTAATAAAAGTTTGACATTTAGGTAAACTCTACACGAGACTGCCATTCAAAAATAGAAGTTTCAGTGCCAAGCTTTCTGTAAGCAATTCTTCTACCAGAGGATTTGTACAAGACCAAGAAAATATTATAAGGCAGGGTGGGCGATTTCCGCCCCCTTTGCTTGGAAATGTGAAAAGTTATTGGCGGATTGGAAATAATTGGTCAAAAATTGCCAGAAATGTCTGAAAAATTTAGCCACGACTTCATTCTTTTGGTCCTATTAATTTTATCCTTCTCAAGGCCAGGATCCGGATCCCCAGTACGTTATACACAACTGTAAAACAAAACTAGTAAAAGTACTTGGGCTGAAATGGAATAATTTGTAGTGATACTGGATACAATCTAGCCTTTGAGTTAAAGCCAGGTTGGAGTGACTTTGTTTAAGATAGAACGCTCTGTGCCATTCCTTTGAATAAGAACATGATTTGCATATTAGTTGTAGGGTTTTTATGAAATGTAGGTCATCTTCAGTCTGGCTTCAATGAATGGAAGACTAAGACACCAATAAGTTTTACTTATTTACTTAAAACACAGCCTATTCAAATGTGTTTATGGCTAGACTGGACGTTTTCTTCTCTGTGCTATATTTCACCCATTTCTCTTTTGAATCCAACGTTACTGCTACAGTCATATGCAACAATCAGTGTAATCATTCCATTTTGTCTTGTTTGCTTGTTCTTTTTTTTTTGCTTCTCATCTGTTTTACTCTTTTCTGTATTTTGTAGGTGACATGCGCACTTTTGAGGCTGTTGACGTTCAAGCTTTACACCACTTAGTCGACTGCGTTGTTTTTCCCGCCAAAGGTCACCGGCCCCACACTGATGAAATGTCGGGCTCAGACCTCGACGGAGACAAGTATTTCGTCACGTGGTACGACAAGCTTATACCAACAAGAGAAAATGAGGATCCCATGGATTTTACTTCCCCCGAAAAAAAGGTTTTGCCAAGACCCGTGGAAGTAGGAGACATGATTCAGTTTGTATCTGATTACATCAAAAATGATCAACTTGGGATCATTGCGAATGCACATTTGGTTCACGCTGATCATGATGATGAAGGTAAGTAAAAAACCTCAGTGAAAGGGTTAAGCAGTATGCGGTTAATTGCGGCGTAAATTGCGGCGTATACTATCTATCTATCTATCTATCTATCTATCTATCTATCTATCTATCTATCTATCTATCTATCTATCTATCTGTCTGTCTGTCTGTCTGTCTGTCTATCTACTCATTGCTATTATTAACTTATTTCCTCTTCCCTCATCAAGGAATATTTTCCAGTGAGTGTATCAAGTTGGCTCATATGCACTCTGACGCAGTAGATTTTCCAAAGACAGGCAAGTGTCCATCACTTCCCCGAGAACTAAGACCTGACCAGTATCCGGACTTTATGATGAAGGCTGGCAAACCGCGATACAAGTAAGTGAATCAACATTTTGTAAATAGGTTATGTTTCGTTAACGCCATATTTCATAAGGTTGTATAAAGCTAGTCTACCAAGCTATACTATTCCGTAGCATGTCCTACTACATCATCCACTCTAACGGCTTTATCCAAAACGCTATGGATAAAAAGAAACTTACTGCCCCCGTCGTTTTAGACATGAGCAAAGCTTTCGACAGTCTCAACCATGAACTACTAATACAGAAACTACGGCATATAGGTTTATCCAGCCAGGCGATTTTACAAATGTATGGTTCCAGAGCTATCTTTCATCTAGATAGCAAACAGTACGTATCAATAAAAGTGTGTCTGACTTTCTACCTATCATGACTTGAGTACCACAAGGATCCATCTTGGGACCCTGCTTTTCAGTGTATATGTTAATGATCTTCCTCATCCATTAAAGAAATGTGAAGTAGACTCTTGTGTAGACGACACAAAAATGTACTTGTTCTTTGATATTAAAGATAAGGGGCGCGATCCATTCAACCAAAATTTCCGGAAATTTCGGTCCAAAACTCAATGGATCGGTTCGGTCCAAACGGAAAAGTTTCGAAAAAACTGGTCCACCTTTTGAGGTGGTCCTCTTTTCCCGGTCGAACCGGTCTGAATTTTGGTTGAATGGATCGCGCCCAAGGACACATCGGTCACGGACCTGCAACAAGATTTAATCTCGATACGTAATCGGGGTTTTAACAACTCACTCCTAATTAACCCTGGCAAGACTAAGCTGATTGTCTTTAGAACAAAGCAGACGCTATCTCGTTTAGACGACTTCAAGTTATCGCCTCTTGGCAAGGAGGTGACTCCATGTGACTCCGTACGTGATATTGGAATTTACGTGGATTCTCAGTTGTCCTATGACGAACATATTTTAAAGACAGTGTCTTCCTGCGTATCTCGTCTTTGTCAAATAAATAGGGTTAAACACGTATTCGATCAAAAAACACTCAAATTTGAAATTAATACATTAGTTTTCAGCAGGTTATTTTATTATTCTTCTGTTTGGTCTAGTGCTGCCAAGAAGAATGTAAATAAATCACAATTAGTACAAATTTTTGCAACGCGTATCGTTGCGTAAGTACGATCATGTAACACCTATACTTAAATCGTTAAATTAGTTACCCGTCAAAGACCAATTATACTTTTGAGATGCTGTATTAGCTTTTAAATGTATGTCGGGACTAGTGATCAATAAATAACACGTAGTATTGTAAGTAACCGGAAAACCAAAAATTCGCTTATGCTATTCTATGCTATTTATTTCTGGGCAAAAAATATTCCACTGTAGGATAGTCAACATTTGGAATAATTTAGACAACAATATTAAGTTAATCATTGATGTTAATAGTTTTAGGAATAAGCTTAGAGGAACGCTTTTAGACAAATTTAAGAGGGAGAGTTATGAACATGCGACGGAATGATTATAATGATAATGATTAATGATTTCAATTCAGAGTAACTGTTAAGGGGGTTGGGTTTAAGAGGGAGGATTGTTATATAATGGGAGGGAATGATATTTTAAATAATTTGTACTTTACTTCATTATATGTTTGAATTCATTTTTGTAGTTGACGCTGAAAAGCTCCAAAGGGGAAGTGTTCAATAAAGCATGTATATGCATGTATACACTAAAAAAGCGTATTTTTATCTGGGTTCCTTGGTACTTAATTATCCTCTCCCATTATGAGGCTTTTCAGGGATCGATACTGAAAAAAAAAATTCAGATGAAACAAACCGGTACTAGTTGATAATTTGCAAGCGTGACTGAGGAATCGAACTCGGCAGCGGTCAGACCGGCACTGACAGATTACAGGATAGTCCAGCGCTCTAACCGCTCAGGCAAGCTACCTTCTGATTTATCTTCTGTTCATTTATGAAGTCAAAACCTAGTTGGAAAAATTACACGTAATCTTTCATGTTTCGACAAGATCAAAATATGGAAAATTCGTACTAAGCTTGTTTTCTTGGGAATATTTGTTTTTGTTGTCATTTATGTTATGTCATGTCATGAGTTTGTTGTTTTCTTGTTTCAGTTCTCAAAGAATACTGGGAAAGCTTTTTCGTAAATGTCAATCCCTCGATCGTGCCCAGCGCTTCTCGGTTGACGCATCTCAGTCGAAGATCACACCTGATAAGGACATGATCGTGTCAGGGTACGAAGAGTACCTTGAAGAAGCCAGGACTTTCAGAAATATCTACAACACAAAGTTGGAAGGTCTTATGTCCTTTTATGGCTTGAAAAATGAAGGAGAAGTGATTACAGGATGCCTCGTTAAAGTCAATACTCGACTTTCTGCCAAAACAGATGAGAAGTTTGAAGTGGCTCAAATGATACTAGCAAGTCTTGCTACTCTGCGTGCCAACACTAGGCGCGATTTCTATTATGAATTTGGAGGAGAAGAAGCTGTAATGGAGGAGTTTGAGGACAATGGCAACTTTAGCAATGACGTTATGAAGAAGGCATCAGCGTGGTACATGGTAACGTACGGAGCGGAGGACGAGGAAGAAGCCACAAACACTGACGTTAAGGCATCGACCAGTGATATCAGAGGAAATCATCAAACCAGCGAACAAAGAAATAAGGTCACGTTAATCAGCTTCCCTTGGATCGTGGACCGAATCCTGGCTAAGATCAAGGACACCAAGCAGAAAGAAAGAAAAGCTAAAGGCATCCAACAGCAGCATACACTAAATGCAGTCAGTGACCTTGTCAAGGACCAAGCAGCTTACTTTTTTGACGGTTTGAAATCAAATGTGTCAGACGACCGAAACATGCGAATCGAGGAGAAAGACAAATTGCAAAGGATGCTAAACCAGGCTTTGGCGGGCGGACCCGTGCCACGAATTTCCTTGTGCGGCGAGTCTCTGACGAGTATCTCTTCAGGAGACGATCGACAAGACCAGCAACACATTGAAATCTATTTACACGGTCGTGGGTGGAACGCCACGAGGGAAGAACAGTTTAATTACCTACGGAGTGTAGAGAGAGCACTAAAGCGACACGGTGACGCACATCTAAAACAGGGATACCCTCCCATGTTACGTTTTCAACGGTCACAAGGTAAGAACGTTTTCTAAATCATGGCGTCGTTATTGAGTATTCTTTACTACACTTGTCTGTAACAGAGAGCTGACCAAATTAATAGGCGTGGACACAGCAAGGAGGTGACGCCAATGAGAAAGAAGACTGGCATTTCTTTCATTTTTGACTCACGCCACTCTCCGATGGAACTACTTCGTAAAACTTTTAAAATAGTTTTTGTGAAAGGAACAAAAAAGGGATTAAAAAAATTCAATTCCATCTTGTCCTTTGGGCAGGCAGTTGTCACATTTTGCATGCCCGCGGTCACTTTGTCCGTCTCCAAGCCCTACCAGAAGAAACAAAGGGAATGGAGTAAAATTAAATGAAAACTTATTATTCTTTGCGCAGGTTTATTAAGGCAGCAATACTTAATCACCATGGACACAAACAGAATGTTGAAAAGTGCGTACGTCGCTCTTCATGTTCAGCGGTGTCCTCGTCTTTTCCATCTTCTCTTGGTCGTCATGCACTGGGGCCGCCGCCGACGCCTTAATGGCAGCTCCAGAGGTTGCTTCCTGTCAGATGAGAGTTTAGCCACCCTCTTTATCACCTTCTGTGAAAAATCTGGATTTATCAATGAGGTACAATTTGCTGTGTAAGATCCTTGAAAGAGCGCTACGTCGTCCTACACTTTTTCATGACATTTCTGGTAAAGATTACCAAGCCTTTCCAACAACAAAATATCACTAATCATGATAATTGCTAAATTATTGTGGGCTGCGCCACTGACGAAACTAAACTATCTAGTTAAGTCTGTCTGCGAGCCAGCGCCGAAATCCTTCTTCTGAGCCGTACGCGCCATGATTAGCCTGTTAAAAAACCATTGTTGATGATTTGAAGTGAAATTCGAAACGCACTTCCAGTAATTCGTTGAGAGATCTCCAGACGTTGCCATCCTTGGGCTATGGGCTGTTTATATGATACCGGAATGACTTTCATTCCAGAATGAGTTCCGTTCCAGAGTGAAGTTCGTACTGCATTCACACCTTAAAATCGAACGGCTCAGCCTAAGGCGTTCTGGTTCGCTTGGTTTTTGCGCCAAATCAGATACCTATTCGCCACTCGCCCCAGACTACAAGATTTGTGATTTTCAATTTCGGAACGAAGTTTTACCAGAATGAAATTTCTCACCAAAACGAGAATTTCATTCGAAATGAAAACAGGAGTGAACTCATTTCGGAACGACTTGTACGGGAAAAAATGTTCGTCTCGGTATCATGTGAACACTATGCAAATAAATACATGGAGATGGAATGAATTCATCCGGGAATGGAAGTCATTCCAGTATCATGTAAACAGTAGTTCCTTAGATTACGTCTGCCAGTCGGTCTAAATGATTGTTTTATGCATAAGTGCTGATCATAAACAGGCCTTATTCTTCATCTGACTCCCGCATTTCACCTTGTATTTGGAATTTTGCTTTCAGCTTAAAAAAGACGAACTTCAGCCATTCATTTCTAGTCTTCTCGAATCGTCTACACAAACTGCAGCCGAAAATCTGTGGAACGCTGAGGTACTCGGGGAAGGTGATCTTGGACAGCTGAAGGGCTTTAAAGATGACGTAACTCCAGGTGACGCATTGATTAAGTTCTTTGAACATTACAGCACGTTGGCCGACGACGACCGCCTTCATATATGTCACATTAAGAATCCAATGACAGGCAGCGAGGAAATTTGCCCAAACGTGTCACAAGAAGAAAGCGGTCGCTTCTCTGACGCAGCCCTCCATGCCTTTCACGAGCTGGCGCAGTGTTGTGGTCTGGATAGTCTAACTGCCTCAAATAACACAGAGAATACTCGAGAGCTGAAAGAAACGCTACAGATGCCAAACACAACCTGGGGCGCACTTCGATTTGCTGAAGCCTTTGTTCAAATAAAATTGTCTAGGAAGACGTCATCGCTGATAACAATTCGGCCTGGTAATGATTCTTATTGAATTGTTTGTTTGTTTATTTGTGTGAGTTTTTGATGCGGAATGGGTAAGGAGAGGGGGATACTCTACACTTAAGTTTCGATATTCTACTTCTCACAGGTAAGCTTTATTAGAGATAACTTCCTTTACTTCTAATTTCTCTTTATCAATCCACCACGATCTGGTACACCCAAACAAATTAACAGTGATGAATTGAGGTTAGTACGGATCGCTGAAGAAATCTTGCACCATTTACAACTTTTAGTCAACACAACAACGGAATCAGAGCTGAATACGATATCAAAACTGGTTGACAGAACAGAAAACACTAACGCGCCTTGATTTCTACAGACAGTTATTAGCATTTTTCTCGATGCTTTGTTTCTGAATCAATTCATTCATTCACACGTTAGTAGGACCGATTCATTTCGTAAGTTTAATTGCACGTTTGGGTACAATAATCATATCTTTTCCTTCCTTTTTAGCGCAGAGATCCGCTGGGTACATCCTAGAGGCAACAGGGAATTACCTCACCCTGCACGGTGTACAGAATGAACTGGAGAAGCTGGAAACCACCTGTCAGTCATACATCTATGACCACACGGTCAGTGGCGGGACGCGTTTCCTGTTTTTAAACCAAAATAGTCAGGAACAGCGTGTAACCTTCAAGAAGTTAAGTAGAGACTTTGCAGTAAACACTGCTGAAATGGCTTTACTAAATTCTGGTGAGGACTTAGCTGCAAGAAAGTTCCAAAATGCCATTTCCTCTCAGTTGAGGGTTTACAATCGCGAATATCTGCCCTATGTTCATGGCACTGACACGCTTAGCGTCAAAGCAGAGTTTGGAAGTATTTACGTGGAAAACGTACCCGCTGATTCATTAATTATAGGAAGCGCTGCTGAATCCGTCGAGAGAACTTTGAGTGAAAATGCTGATCCTAAGAACCAGTCAGCTCGGGGAAGGCGCAATACCCAGCTAATGAGACATAAGTTTGTGCCGTTCTCAGGAAGAGTTGCCGCAAGTTCGATTGCTTTTCTCGAGAGACTTCCCCAATCCTCCTCAGAATCATACACCGTGGGAATAAAGGCCGGGAAGAATCACACCCTCACCGTAAATTACAATGAAAATTTGGAATTCTGTGATGTAGAAATCCCTTCTATAAACTGGGTAGTAGCCGATGTCAAAGCCCCGCGCTCAAGCAACTCAAAGTCACGTGACATCGACATGCGCATCACCATCTGCTCCGAGCGTAAACTGGATGAAGAGGACGAGAAACAGGAAATTATGGCGTCGGCTAATTATACCAGGTTCAAATCTGCAATTAGAAGACCTGCAAATGGCGGCAGTCAGCTTGAACTGGCACATGAACTGCAGAACAAGGTTAGTTTTGTCCGTCATGATAAAACGTCTACTTATCGCGTCCCTGACAACAACTCGATTTTCATTCAAGTGAAAGAGGTCGAAAAGTATGAGACCAAAGGACAGAGGTTACTTAAAAACCCAAAGACCTTCATTGAGGAGCAAATACGGGGATCCTTCAATGGTAAAAATGAAAATGAAGCAATGAATGTTGCAAACGAAGTTTGGGAAGCGGCTAAAAAGCTCAGACAGCACATATCAATTTTAAATTAAATGGAAGAAAACAATTCCTAAATGCTTATCATTTATTATTATTACTATTATTATTATTATTATTATTATTTTCTTTTCTAACTTTATTGCAACGTTGGGCTTTTTAAGTAATTGTTTCCAACTAATTTACTTTAATTGGACGAAGCGTGTTGATCAGCTTCTTTAGCCAAGCTCACCTATTATTTAATAGGTCATTTGCACGATGGCGTCATTTTACTACTACGACCAGAATCCTTTTCGTTTTTCCTTTCATATTTAAATTTGTAATCCCAGTGAGGTTTAAATAACAAAAGCCTTAATTTACACAAGAAAGCAAAACCCTGAAGGATTCTGGTCGTAGTGGTAAAATGATGTCATGGTGCAAATGGCCTATTGGTGCGAATCCTGGTGGCTTCGTAACAGATAAACTCGCTTGCGTGACCAGCCGGGGTTGCCTGTTCCCGAAGCCAGCCTAGCTCGAGATTTTTGTCTGTATATCGTCTTTTTGCCTCGAACTGAAGTATGCCCCTCGAAATTGAGGAAAGAAAACCAAAAGAACACTCGACCATCGACAAAGTGGGATGTGGAAAACTTAAACCCGACAGAAATCCTGTTTCGTGTAGAAGCCACGTTTTTGCAAGCGAAGAGTATGAATGCAAGTGAAGGTAAAAAATTCCCGTGAATATTTCAAGCAATTCCTGGAACTCTACGGTAATTAAAATCAGTGTTTTGGCTAAATATGTATTCAGCCAGGCTTTGTTGTCTATATTTAAGCTCAATTGATAAATTTCTTCAGTCATAGGCGTACGGGCCGGGGGGGGGGGGGGGAGGGGGGCTGCAGCCCCCCCAAATTTTGGGCAACTCAGATTTTTTGGGCAGCACGAGAAAATTTGGGCAAAGCCAGTTTTTAAAGACGTCTGCATGTTTTTATTATTATTTTGAAGAGATAAATATTTTCTATTTTAACCTGAAGTCGGCGTAATAATCCAATTACATTGACACGAGACAGTGGCTGCCTAGCACCTGACGAGTTTCTGCATGGTTATAAGGGATTAAGGTATCATATGCTGAATTTTTTTTATTGCTGGGCACTCTACTGCAATGGGCTATTTCCACTCGTAACTTTATCAGAATAAACTTCCGCCCAACTTTCTAGAATCATCTCCGCTCGTAGAACAGTGTATGACCGATAGCACCGGCAATGGGTCTGAAAATGAAGAAGTGGCTGACTAATTCTCAGTTTGAATTACGAGAACAATCTTATTTTTTTAAAAAAAGATTTATGGAGCGGTTTAAAAATTATTCACTAATTTATTAAAGTAGACCGAAATGTTTACAAAACGGCTAACAAGAGCGCCACGACACGTACTAATCAAATCCTTCTTTGTAGCAATTGGCCGGAGCTATCTCATGATCTTTCAACCACTTTTTTAAAAAGATTGAAACTACTATGAGGTAAAATTGCATGTCAAAAGCCAATCGTTTTCTAAAGATAACATTTTCCCTTTGTTTACCGTATTTCCAACGATAAAAATATCTCGATAACGCTCTTACAGATTCCGTTTTAACTTCACGAACAACGACGCGACTATTGGAAGAAAAAGCTCCTGTGATCGATTTTGGAAGAACAGTTCCCACGGAGAAATATTGCTGCAAGCATAGTAGGTAATGGCTTCATTTCGTTGCTATGACAACTCCGATGTCATTGCAGCCCTGATCACAACAAATTTTCATCTTTATCTAATACAACTGTGATGGCAATTTTTCCAAATGTTTGTTTATGGTGACGTACTAGTTTATGCTCAAACTTGGCAGGTATAGTCTCTGAAAAACTATATCGAGCCATTTTCACATGGCGATACGGCCTATGTTGTTGCATCGGCCCTCGTTTCTGTTCGACTGTTTTGTAAAAATTTGAGCAACTTGCAAAATTTTTTTGGGCAAATGGTTTACCGCCCCCCCTGGCAAAAAATAGCCCATACGCCTATGTCTTCAGTTTTCATTCAATCTATTTATAATTTTTTTCGTAAAAATAGTGTAAGTATGTAATATGAGCTTACGAGAGTACAGTTAGTTTTATAAGACATTTGACAAGCCAGAAATGCAAGTCTGTACTATTGCGAGAAGGCCACAACAGACATCATGAGAAAAGAATTAATAAATAACTAAAAAAAAGCATTTTCGTTGATTAAAAAGTGCTTTCGACTAAGTTGCTTATAATTGTACAGTTGTCAAGTAACCGGGTGACTCAATTTCATTGCTGACTATAATCTCCAAATCGGTTGCCAAGGTCCTAAATTCTTTTAACTCTTTTAGTTTAAAAATTCAAAATGTAGCAAGTATCTCCTCCTTTTCCTGTAAAATGAAAACATTTCTCTTAACATAGTATTATAGAATTTTTTTAAACCTCTGCTTTGCCTTTTTTTTTCGCTCTCCCCTTTCGTTTTGCATTTTTAGCGCAACTTATATGCTTAATACAGTCATCTAATATATCACAATATTTACTGTAGTTCGGCCATTGATTTTGCAAGTATACTTCTGTTTATACTTGTTTATAATTGGCTGATTTAGCAACAGAACGGGAACGTCAGTTGACGACGCAAAAAGCGCGCGAAAAGGACTGAACGCGGCTTCAGGTGCCCAATTTGCCGCTCTGCCATTGGTCAAACCAGTTGTTTGATTTGCGCGCGCCGTCGTAAACTGACGTTCCCGTTCTGTTGCTAAATCAGCCTAATAATTAATTGAGGGAGCCTGTTCCTTATAAGCCTTGTGGTTTCCATTGGACTTCCTCGCCATTGGTTTTTCTTATATTTAGAACTTCTTTCTTTGTATATTTTATGGCAAAACAATAAACTTGAACTTGAAAAAGTGTTTGAATTTAGTTAACAAAATCATTTCCGGCTTTTCTACAATGTAAAAGTTTGAAAATGACCAACTCTGCTTCTTTTAGGTTGAAACTCAAGGTAATAACAAGAGGGTATAATAGTCTCCTGGTAATAACAAAGAATAATCTATAACAATGAAATTGACCGGTGCGGGAACAATTGGTGATCAATAAATCAGTGTTGAATTAATGGTGATAGAACTGAAACAAAGGTGCCGAATCCTAATAATAAGACAATTTGGCCTGTAGAAGTTCGTAAATGGGCAGCTGCAGGATTTTGGTTCCACAGGGGTCAGGGGATCTATCCGAGGTGAAGAAGACTCCCTGTTTAAGAGGACATGTACACTCTGGTCCCTTAAGAGTGGGGTGCGGTACTCGACCTATATTTGGGGCGTGGTTATAGGTGAACAGTTGAGAGGTTGACCCTCTTTAGGACAATAAAAATCCAAAAATACTTACCCTGTTTTGGGCATCACTTAATTTTATCATCTTGTTTAAGACAAAGGACAAAATGCACGCCGTCTTGTTTTGATGCCATTTATTTATTTACGTCCTCTGTCTAAACTTCGGACCTGTCGGCGGCATTTTGCAATGTTTTGACCCAGTTTCAGGGACTTTCACTTATTCCAGTTTCTTCAACTAAACAGCTTTAACCGGACCAGAACGCCCTTAAAAGCATTAAGTCTCACTTGCTTAGAGATTAGATAAGAAATAAGACGCTCTTAAAACGTCGACTCTACTATGCTTGGAGATAAGATAAGAACTAAGGAGGCAATTAATTCTTAAGGAGCCTGTGTCCGCGCGTGTAAGCCATAAGGACTGTGTGCGGAAGGAGAAAAACAAAAAGCTAGCTGGTCAGGTTACACAGTAACCATTGACTGCCTTTGGTACATACCATAGTCAGAAACGTTTTAAAACTGGAAAAATATTATAATCTTACAGTCGGGGTAACTGAATTTGCGCCCATTCGCTAACCATTAATTATTAATTGTTATAAAAACTATGAGATTGCTTAAACGTGATTTTTTTCATGAAGTTAAATTTTAGCCATGAAAGAAACACCACACCATGGACACACTTCTTCTTCTTTTGTGACGTTTCCTTGTCATGCCTTGTGTTCTATTGTTAGCCATCGACATGAAAAGAATACTATAAAGCTGCTATAAAACAAATACTAAAAAATGCAATAATTATAAATCGAAAGTGAAAATTGATGTCGAGGTAATACTGTAATTTCAAGGACTCTTCCACAGTCAAAGGCAATATGAAGCAAAGTGGCTAGACCTTGCAAATCTATGACATTAAGGACACATCAACACAGAAATCAGTATATGGGAAAAACACACACACACATACATTTCTCAAACTACTACAAAAATAAACAGACTATTCCAATTTGCAGACTAGTAGATTCTAGTAGAAATGAAGTCCTGTAAACAAAGTGCGTGACAGTCAAGTACAAAGCTACCGTTAACATGTCCGTGACACATAGTTAAAGGTTAAGTCATTGATATCTCAAGTATTTAAATTATAAAGTGCAACGCGACCTCGCATCTTAATATGAACTCATGTACGGGAATCCAAGACAGTCTTGGATTCTGGATTTCACGCGGTGGATTCCAGATTCCAGGCACTTGATTCCAGTCTCTTTTAGTGGAACCTTGGATTCTGGATTTCAATCCTTACAGGGATTCCGGATTCGAAAGCCCAGGATTCCAGATTTTACAAGAAAAATTTCCCCGGGTTCCGGATTCCACAAGCAAAAATTTCACCGATACCGGAATCCGGATTCTCTTTCATGGGACGATTAACAACCACTGAAGTATTTACTTGTTCCAAAGTAATCAATAGCAACGCTCTCAAGCGATAGAATCCGTGGACCGACTCGTTCCGGAAAAGCTCTCGACTACGGGCTTTCGGCACGCCGAGATACTTATCCCCAGTTTCCGCGGTCTCCGCTAGGAACGCCTGGGACCACATTGGGGCCCACTGCCGCAAAAAAGGAAACGCTTGCATTGTCTGAGTCTCGCCGCTAAAGCAAGCGAGACTGAAAATGTTAGAATAAGCTTTTAAGGTAGGAGCACACTAGGCGACAAGTTGCTGAAAACACGTCGCGGCGACAAGTCGGAGCGACAAATCGTTTCGCGCGTACTCCAGAATTTTGCAAAAATCTTTGTCTCCGCAACAACATTTTGTCGCTGCAATGAGTCTCACAAAATCAAATCAGATTGAATTCGTGCAACTTGTTGCGGAGACAAAGATTCTCACGAAAAATCTCCTGATTTACTGAATACACACGAGCCGAATTGTCGCTGTAACGTGTCCCGCAACTTATCGCCCGACCAGTACACACAGGGTGATTTGTCGCCGCGAAGTGCACGTGTTGCAGCGACATGTCGCTTAGTGTGTACCGACCTTTATAGTTATGTTTTAAGTAATACAACAAACAATTTCTAAGTATATAAACTAAAAAACTATTAAGAAAACAGCTTTCATGGAAACGTCAAAAACCAAAGACAAAAGATTGATACTGAAAGTTAATTGTTCCCCGATGAAACTTGGCGGGTTTTCGTTGACCCGGATGCATTCCTTGAGGAAAGACCTAATCAAATTTAAAAATGGAGGATTTAAAAAAAAGGAAGAAAAAAGGAAAAGGAAAGAAAAAGGAAGAAACAGAAAATTTTTCCGTAAGCCTTTCCACAAATATCACGAAAAATCGCCCCGGCAAATCATCAAACCGATTTTGAATCAGTTATTTTTAGCTTGTGGAGTTTGAAAAAGTATGTAGCGGTTTGGGTTTTATGATCACACGATTCTTTTTTTCTTTTATTTTGCTTACTCTGGTCTGTTCCTTCCAAGTCTGTTATGCGCACTTGCAAATTGGCCACTGGCTATAGCTGATAGCGTGGAGAGTTCCATGGCCAGCGCAAATGAAGCAATTATTTCCGCAGATCGATAGATACGACCCTGTAAGGAGATAAAGAATGTTTTTTTTTGAGCCAAGAGTTTATTTTCTCAGATTGTTCAGGCAATTCTATTTGCGCTGAAATCCTATGAATTGATAGATAAGCAGAAATAAAGGATTCCTACCTTTCCAAAACAGCCTATCATGTTTAGAGATTCTTTTGCGGTTGGTGTCCCTGTTCCACCTCCTACGGTTCCAATAAGAAGTGCAGGGATAACAAGGCTGGCGTATATTCCAGGTTCATATTCCTCATTTGACTCTACACCTGCTAGGAAAAGAGAGCGCGGATTAGTGACGATTTTTTTACACATTCATTAAAATAATCTACATTTTAGACTGCAATTAAAATACGCTGAGATCGCTTTTATCCCGTCAATCCTAAAGCGCGTGCAAAATTGGCGGGTATCGTGAATAAGGTCTATTGTACTCGCTATTGCCACATTTTTCCAAAGTCTCTATCCGCCGATATTCGCGTCGCCTGAGGCGACTTATTGTTTTAGTATAATTACATTGATGATTATTCGAGAAAATAAAATTATTGATCAATTTCCGACTCCGAAACATCAACAAAATCTGGCTGCCATTTTGAAAACTGCTAGCTTTCAATGTTATAATCACCGCGCGGTGATTACAGCGGGATGAAGCGAAGCTCCTAGCCAATCATAACGCTCTATTTTTTTGATAATCATCAATGTAATTATACTAATTAACAATTAATGAATGAGGCTGAGTATCTTATGAAGAATTATGGAGATCGAGGAGGGTGTTATCCGTTGAGGCCGTAGGCCGAGGCGGATAACACCCTCCAAGATCTCCATAATTCTTCATATGATACGAAAGACGAATTCAATAATTGTTTTATTATTCATTCAAAATAATTCCTAGTTGGAAATAAAACAAAGCAAACACATGCTTACCTCCATCGATGTTAAGTTCACCTTCGATAGGACACGTTTAGGGTTGTTCAGCTCTGCAAATATTCTCCAAATAGCAGATGTCGCCCTTGAGTTGTGTTCTTGCTGTTCTTGCCATGTTTTTAGCTATAATTTCGCCTAGTTCTTACTCTTGAAACGAGTGAAATGTCCGCCATTTTTTGTTTTCACAACCAAAACAACTCAACCTCAATCAGAATTGGGGAAATATTTTGAATGAATAATAAATCATGTTAACCATGTCCTACGTGAACAATTTTTGTGAATTTTGTTTATCATATTCAAAGCCTTTCACCTGCAACTTTTATGTTTCTTTCCACTGTCACGTCAAACACAGCCCAGGAACTCTCATGGACAGACGCCAAATCCTGTCCTGTGGCAGCAGAAATGCCCGCAATTGTATTACTGACACACTGATTAACACCGTACGAGCCAGATCTCTGTGCTGCCATTTGAAGAGCATGGAAAGCCTTGTACAATGTAGATGAATCTACCTTGAATGAAAACGAAAAACACATAAATGATGATAATAGGACCATTGCAACTATGGTCACTCACATGTGACAAAACCGCCATGCTGGAGAGCAAGGAACTCGCTGGGAGAAGACAAACAAGGGAAATTACCTTGCTAAATGGTGTGAGCTCTTTGTTTCTCCTGCCCAGGTGCATCCCTTGATCAGCATGGTGGTTGTGCACCACGTGAATGACTAGCTACAAAGCTAAAGGGCTTACAGTGTTAACTAAGAATATATGACTAAAAAAATCAAATGTATATACTGCGGCTAAAGAGAAAGAGAACTAAACGTAAACGTAATCGATCCTTACAGCTGAATGAAAAACCATTCAAAGCGGTTGAACAAGACCATTTCACCCGATGTAAGGGAATCCGGACTCCGATAAAATTTTTGTCTTGTGGAATCACAAATCTGGGAAATTTGAGTTGTGGAACCGGAATCCTAGGCTTTGGAATTAGGAATCCCACTAACAATCAGAATCCGGAATCCAAGTTCCACTGACTCCAGAATCCAGTACCTGGAATCTGGAATCACGGCGTGGAATACAGGATCCAAGGCTCGGATATCCTTACATGGGGCGAACCTCAAAAACCAAGCTTGACATGGAACTGAACCGTGAACTTTGTGATGACCGGACAACAACTAATATGCCACTTCCGAGTTCCAAAAACCCTCACTTTCGAAATGAGGCCAAGTGCACAACCTTTCTTGTGAAAATGAGTTTTATTTTTATTTATATCAAATAAGAACCTCGTTTTGGAAAATCAGTTTTGTTATCCCAATGAAATCAGGAAAGGCTAAATTATGCGTAAATACTTAACCTCGTTTTTGATGGGAAACCAAAACATACGAGCTAAAGAGGTCTATTTAACGATAATCGTTTTTATTAACTGATAACAATATATTCATTTTTGTTTATCCCAAATGCTGTATCGTATAGGGACCTAGAGCCACAACAAAAGTATCCATGAGAACGGAAAAGCGTCTTTCAGAGAGAGTCCTGGACATCGAGCATGGAACATTTCTTCTTCATAAATGGCGGAATATGCTTAAATGATTGCCATCAAAAAGGGGAGCAAAATGCAAAACCATTTCAGAACCAGAACCTCAACAGTTTTGTTGATGACCTTCGAGGCTCTAGGACCAGAAACCAAAACATTAAGAATGTTGATATCGACGTCGAAGTTGCTGAAGGAGCCATTAAACGGATAATCGTTTTTTATCATATATATCTTTTTATTTCAATTATTATTACTATTTTTTTTTTTTTTTTTTTTTAAGTTGAAAGAAACTTTTGAATCTTAGAGGTTGACAGTTTTTTTTTTATTGAAATGAAATGTTTTTAATTCGAAAAAAAAATTTTTCTTAGTTTTAATTTTTTTTTAAAGCTAAATTAAGTGCTTTTTAAATCGACAGAAATTGTAAATAGTGTTTTTGAATGAATAGTTTTTTTTTTTTTTTTTTTTTAAGCGAATTAATTGTAAATAGGATTTTAATAGTTTTTTTTTTAAAAAAAAAAAGAATGATAGAATGATAAAATTTATATATAGAGTTTATTCAGCTCGTTCAGTTTGCAAAGCATTTATTATTGACGGGGGTACAGAATACTAGTGTACATTCCATATAAGATTCTATAATACACTAACTACAACGGTGAGCGACTAGTTATCAACAACACCCTCTAGAGTAAAATAAATTATGCTAGGTACCTTCAAGACATTTTGCAGGACAGACTCCGTGACATAAGCTTCAGCTTGAACTTCAAGTCCACGACCTTTTATGTAATTTTTTGCTACAGCATTTTTATCGCCACTAAACTTAGTTTCAATGTAAAACTCCCTAATGTTGATATCCGGTTGCTCCTTGGCGATCTGTTTTAGAGCCCACTGACATGCGTGCCAGGTGGTTATAGTTACACCATTTTGTCCAGCGGCATCAGCAGAATCGTAAACAAATTCCATCAGCAGATTGCGACCTAACCGTAACAATACAAACGAAAGGTAAGAGCTCCAACGAAAATCAAGGAGTGATCAAGTAACTACGCGACAGACCGTTTGCGGTTCCAACCAAAATATCGATTTTTTTTTTCTAATACAAATCGTACAGCTACAATATTTAACGTTGTTCTGCTATTGGAGAATGCAGCTTTTTTGGAGTGGAAATCTGGGCGAGATCGCATATATACCATGGCATGGGTTCTACGTTAATGCATTTCAAAATGAACTCATAATTGACAAAATTTTGTGGAAGCGAAACTCGCCGGTTGCCGTCATTTGTCTAGAGGAAGCGTGGGACAGATAAAATTTGCCTAGTGCGGCCGGGCCCATTTAATTGTAACAGATTATTATATAACCAACGTAATTTCGTTGACCTTGTTTATGATTAAAAATAACCCAATAACTCAACAACAAAATTTCTTGAGAATTATCTTGGGCGAATTCTAGTGATCGTAATTTCTAAAATGTTGAAACTAACCAACAAACCAAGGTTCCAGTCCTATAAGCTTGCAGTGTTTGCTGACTTCACTGGCTTTTGACTTGAGTTCTTCGAAGTGAGAAATTAACCATGACGACAGCCCTTGTGCCTGTTGCATGGAGTCCGTAACAAAATGGGGCGTTCTCATGATTCGTCGCTGAATCACGCGTGCACTGGCTCCTCCGCACCTGCAGTAACAGAGTTTTACACAATCTCTTTAGCCAAAACCGTCTCGGTAGTCAGCAAGATGTACGACATGTGCTATAAGCCAGAAAAATAATAATGTCACTTACTAATAATAATAGCTATATAAGTGGTGTATGACTGGTAGCATGTTCAAACACTTTGATAACGTTTTAAGCGGAGCTCCACGCGCGCGGGAGCGGAGCCTCATTGCTAAGAAAATTTGGTAATCTATCCATCCGAGAAATTTTTGTTGTGACGTCAGCGTTCGCCCGGCGACGGTCCACACATGCTCTACATGTAAACCGATGTCAAATGTCACATTTTAAAACTAGCTAAAGAGTCTAAGGCATATACTATCTGTGTTTGACTTGGTATTGGTCATTGATCCAAAAGGTCTAGATAGCAGCAACAATATAGATAGCCGTACAAACATAACAACCTTCTTTAATTTACCAAACATGTTTCGACGGTACACCCGTCATCTTCAGTGTTACATATTTTGAATTCGCCGCGATGTTACAAAGTTCGTTACATTTTGTTGGTAATATTGCGTACTACAAAGTTTAAATTAGTGCCGCTTAGCCACGTGACAGGGAGAGAGTCAGGTTTATGTCTTTTACCTGCTGGTTGAGGTCGGCTTTCTCCCATTTTATGAACACAGACTCCTTAACCTGCAGTACCTGAAGAGTCCAGGATCTCGAAGCAATCCGGTGCGCAGGATATTCGACAAGACTCTGAACTCTGCAGATGTCTAAAAACGTTCGAAGACCTGTCGGAAAGAAAGTGCTCGCGCACTCGTGTGGAGAAATGTCGGCTGGTTTTACTAACATAACAAGCATTACAACGCGGGCTCAGGTATACAACTCATGGAGATGACGTATTTTTTAAAGTTATTCGTTGACCAGTATTTTGGTCTCAATTGATCGCGGGCTCAGGTCCAATTATTAAAGGTGGAATTTAGCTTGTTTTCTGCTTCCAGCAAAAGTTGAATTACTTGAGGAAGACATTTCTTAAAGCATCCATCGAGAGCTTCTCTTTTGGCCTCGGCTAAATCTAAATCTTGTTAAGCTTTTTAATAGTCTACAGTGGCTTCCTTTTTATGAAGAAGTGAACATAGCGTAAAATTCCGAAAATAAGCCCCGGGGCTTATATTTTTCAAAGGCCTTTTTTGAGGGGCTTATTTTTGGAGGGGCTTATCGACGGAGGGAAATTTGCGTATCAAAATCGACTGGGCTAGCCTTATAGTTGGAAGTAAATTTACCGTTTTTGCTTTGTTTTACTTTGTGTTAAAGGGCAATTTTCCAAGTACAAGCCCCCAGGTGGCTTATATTTGGAGGGGCAATTCAACGGAGGGTTTTTTGCGTAACCGGTTTACGCAATATTTGGAGGGGCTTATACATGGTGGGGCTTATTTTCGGAATTTTACGGTAGCTAAATGTTGTGTGGCATACAAACTCATTAAGGGTGAAGTTCCCTTATATATTGAAGACTCCTTAAGACTCAAAAGTCAGCAACCTAGTCGTGTAACTGGACTTAGTGTAGTAATATAAATTTTATTTGCCCAAAATCTAATCGGGTGAGCGAAGGTGGTAGGACGTTCGCAGTTACTACTTGCTAACTCTGGAAAAGCCTAGAACTTAGAAAGGCAGTATCACTAGAATCCTTTAAAAACAATTATCGAAATATCTTATTTAAAGAGCAGTAGGAATTACAGCATTTCATAGTTTAATCATATTCTTGTATATATTTCACTAGCCATATCATTAGCTATTATACTCATTTATACTGATGTAGAACTTCTATACTTCTTAGTTTTATTTATTTTGTACTTAGACTTTGTAAATTCGGAATCTTATGTTTGTTATAATTTTAATTTGAATAGAGGGCCACAAGTTTATTAGTTTCTGTAACTATTCTGTGCTACCCTCTTTAAATAAAGTGTATTATCATCATCATTATTATTATTATTATTATTATTATTATTATTATTATTATTATTATTATTATTATTATTATTACATTAAAAGTAAGGTACCTGGTCATTGCTGTAGCTCCCCTGGTGGACGATGCAACAAGTGCACCTTCTGTTGTTGCAAAAGGGCATAGAATATGTTCATTTACATGATCACCTTTAATGAGGAGAGGGCCACTAACACCCAAAGGAATCTTTGCTAAACCAATGAGATTTTCTATGTTCCCCGCCAGACTCTCAGTAGAATGACTGTCACGATTATTCTGAGGATCCAGCCACTGACCAACATTGGATAAAGATTTTCCGGTGACCTTTTCAACCCATTTTCTTCGGTTATCACAGTCTTTGAGCTTGTAACTATCCCTGTGTGGTACCTAAGGAACAAAAAAATAATAGTCAGAGAGTTAACCCTATTCAGACCAGACATTTTTTTGCTTCCTGTGACGGGGAGGGAGAGGGGGCTTCGGAGCCAACCCCCCAACCCCCCCAACCCCCCCACCTTGTGATGCAGCCACAAAACTTACACAAAATGATGTGCAGTACTTACTTCTCGCTTCCAACATCAAGACATAACTTGATTGACACAACGACGTAATTTCACGTCATCACAATTGTCAGAAAAACCTTCTGTTACTAAACAAACTAGGCTGTAGAAGAAGTATCATAAGCTAAATCCCTTAGACTTGATCTACAACCACCAAACCTTAAGTGTGAATGCCATTAAACGGATGTGGCCTCTTATCCCTTCTAATATTTTAACGTATTATTAACAGTTTCTCATAGTCTTTTGAGCCTCACTTTTTTTATTGCAATGTAAAGTGTGGAAAGTGTATGACCTTTCTGAAAAGCTGAAGAGGCTTCATAATCACACAGCCCGCATATTTTTCATGTATGTGTGTTCCAGGTATTAAGAAGGCATAAAATCTGTCATCGAACATTAGACAAGAAATCGATCAGGATGTTTAAAACCTGTCACAGGAAAAAATAACGGATTCCCATTTTTGGATATTTTAGGGTATTAAATGAATACCCATAAAAATCCCAAATTTGGAAGAGTGAGACAAGTCCCAATCAGGGAACTTGGTTGGGAATTCCCTGGTTGGGACTTGTCTCACTTTGCCAAAATTGGGATTTTTATGGGTATTCTTTAAATACCCTGAAATATCCAAAAATGGGAATCCGTTATTTTTTCCTGTGATGTCATGGAATGACAGGTGGAATGTCCATAATCAAGATTTGTTCATCGCGACAGCGTGGGTGTTTTCCCGCGTCCGACGAACACTTAAAACAAAGTAGTTTGTAACAGAGTCTCCCTTACCTTGAAGTTATCTGCGGTCATTTGCACGTCATTTGTTGTTAGTTTACGATAAATTCCCATAAGCTGTTGGGAAATTCGGCTGCGATTAAGGAAAACTTTGTGCTGTCGAGACGAAGTCGCAAAAACGGCCATAACCTGTAACATCATTAAGGAGACTTAGGACATAATATTCGTCAACAATGAAAACAATGATTGGGTTTGACTGTTCGCAATATAGATTCAATTAACTGTCTGTTCTTTTTCTGATTTTTCCCACAAGGTAACAACTTTTGTAGTTTCTCAGTGAATGTGTGTAGCGTGACGTGGTCAGTTTATAAAAGAATGCACAACATGTAAATCAACTTACACTTGAACGACCCCGCTGTCTGATCTTGTCTCAACGGCTCCAATCAATTAACCACTAGCTCTTGAAGCACAAACTGTATCTTCGCTACAGTCGATTGTAGTGGAGGAAAGCACTAAATAACGTCGACTTGAACCAAATGAGTCATCGATATGTCAGCGGCGTCTTACAAAATGACTACGACTTCCGCTCAGCTTGATCGATCGCAGGGAGGATGTTGTATTTCAGTTAGTTTGAGTTATAAAACGGTCAATATTGTCGTTTCTAGTTTATATTACTGAAAAAAAATCTTAAATCTGTAACAGACTCAGCTGTATTGCATTGAACTACGCGGGCTAATGGTCTTTTCGCGGAACGTTGGTAGGAACGCAGATAGCCGATCATTGGCGTTAACAGTCAACGACCCCTGTAACGCAATCCCAAACCTGTTGTCTTAAGTAAGTGACATAAGTGTGTTACTTCAGATCTGATCAAGATTTTAAGAACATGTCCAACAGCCAATGACATTAGTGCTCCCCATACCACCATAAATTGCAAGTACCCTGGTGCCAGCGAGTAGTCTGCGGTGGCAAGAGACCGAGAACGTTTGGGGTTCGTTAATTGATGGTTTTCACAGTGACGTCATCAGATTGCAAAGAAAAGCGAGTTTTAGGTTGAAGATAAATAGAAAATAAATCTTTGTACAAGTTTCCAGCCCCAAAGCATGTTTCATTTCGAAAATACAACAATTTGAACTTCCGAGTTCTCACAGTGCGTGACACCAAAATAGGAATGCTGTCTCATTGAAAAAAGTCTCTTCTCTTGATTTTCAGCAGTTTAACCATTTCAAGTATTAAAAGATGTGTTTGTGCGCACGTATGCTAGCTCTCGAGTGAAAAGAAAGAGCTTTTATAGAAAAAGTGGACTCCAGATGTTTTTGTTGATTTCCGGCGGCCATATTGGTGTAGACTACGAGAAGTCCCCCATTTTTCCTCAGGGATAGTAGAGCGAGCGAAACGCGAGCGCGCGTGAAAATCACCCCACGCGAGAAAAGGCGACACGCGTGTCGCCTTTTCTCGTGTGGGGTGATTTTCACGCCCACTCGCGTTTCGCTCACTCTACTATCCCTGAGGAAAAATAGGGGGACTACTCGTAGTCTAACATTGGTGGACAGTTTCTGTCCACCAATATGTCGTCTCCATACAAAGCTCTACAAAGGTGCGTGAAATGTTTCGGCAAATAACTCAGAAAACTGTGGGCCACAAAGACCTAGGATTTGGACGAATTATTTATATATTAGTCTTTTATAACATTTCATTTTCATGGCTTCTTCCACTGAACGGTTTCCAATTTATTTTTTTGTGCCGTGTTCATTGCGTGACAGTGAAAACGAAGAATAAAACATTTGCATTCCGACAAGGTGAACTATTAGCAGCGGACTGTGGTTTGGGGTCAAGTTCCCAGAGGGGGTAGTCCGGATTTTAAGTGACAGGGATGATCGAATGGGGAAAAAAAATCAAAACCAAAAAAAAAATCCGTTGGACTTCAAACAAAACTCAAAAAAATCCCTAGACCAAAATTTAACCCCCAGATTAAAAAATCCCATGCTGAATTTCCGAGCCACAAAAATGTCCAGAAAGCATTAAATGATATAACACGAAGAATAGAGACATTAGTTTTTAATACCCAAAAAACTCCCTACTTCAATCAAATTAGAACTCTGAGAGTTTAACCATACTTCCTACCTATATTTTCCCCTGATTTGAGCCTGAGAACTAGTAGACACCTTTGAAAATACAACGGGAAGGAAAAATGAATACTCGACCGCCGACTAGCAGCTGAGGCTCGCCGCGCGTGAACGTATAACTACAGCTAAGAAAATTTGGTAATCTATCCATCCGAGAAAATTTGGTTATGACGTCAGCGTACGACCGAACGCTAACCCAACCGACTCTAGGGGAGGGGGGAGGGAGTCAGGAGTCAGTCCTTCGGGGGAGGAGTAGGTTATAGCGTAACCCCATGGCTAAGAAAATTTTGGTTCTATCCATTCGAGAAATGTTGGTAGTAAGGTAGTGTGGAATGATATTGCACATTCATGTTGAGCTGCTAAAACAGGGTATCCGCTGACCAGTATCACATGACCTTATGGTGGGCTCACGGTTTTGCCCCATTGAGGTTACGTGCTTTCCTTTTTTCACGCGCACAGCACACATAATAAGTGGTGTTTTAATATGAACCAGCGGCCGGACTTCGGACCCGAAAAGTAAGCCTTTTTTGCAGGTACGGAGGGCAGTTACTATTGACTTAAATTACCTAAAATACCTATCTAGCCGATGTTTTGAAAGCCAACCCAAAGAAATTTGCAGGCATTTGAGTGAAAAGGCGTCAGAAGTAACTAGGCTTTTTGAGCTCGATAAGCTCCAAAATCACACTAACAAAAGGAGAAAAGGAGAGGAAACCTAGAGAAAAAGAAAGAGCGAGGAGGAAGAAAGGATGAGAAGGGAAAAAAGGAATGGTTGCACTCAGTTAGTTTTATAATGGCTACTTAATTCTAATTGACCTGAGTAACCGTCTCCTTGTACATTGTGTGAAAAGGTCACTGCGGTGAGAAAAAACATAGGAGGCTTGCTGTCCTGGTTGGTCTCATTGTCAAGCTCAGTCCCTGAGCTAACTCGCCATGGGTTGGGAAGGGGCCTCCATGTCAATCCCTAGGGAGGGGAGGGTGCTGCAAAAGCCTGTTACTGTCCGTTACTCTTGCTGTGACAGAGTCAGTGCACTCGTCATGTCTGCCTTAAGTTTGTCATGTCAAATTCTTTTAATGTTTAAGGCCCATCGGCCAATGAAAGCATTCCTCTCAAACACCTGCTAGGCTGGGGTGGGGGAGAAAGTCAGGGGGGTGATGTGGCCTTGAATTCTCTGCTTAGAACTTGCTTAAGTCTCAAGCAGAGTGTCTTTTTGATGGACTTTAAATGTTTCTTCGCTAATCAGGAACCAAGAAGAGAGTCACCTTAAGAGAACCGCATGAGTAATAGCTGAGTTTCTTGGCAATATTTACTTAGTTGAGTCGGTTTAAGGTGTGTGGCCTCGAGAAGCCAGCTGGTGCGGTTTTCATAAATCCGGCTAGATATATTGTATGAATAATCTGGAACACGTTTATCTACCAGCTGGTATAAGATTCCGAATGAAAAATATTATCTCGTCTTGTATTGTCATCAATTATGGGCCTGTTTACATGGAGGTGGCGACCCAGATAGGTGAGGTAACATGTGGCGGATCACCCCACCTATCATGTAAACGTCATCAAATTAAAATGAGAGCCTATATGGACATGCAGGTTACCCCACCTAAGCAGGTTACCTTACCTACCTGGGGTCCCACAGCTCCAAAACAGGCCCTAAGGCAGAAAGTTAGCCGCTCGAACCAATAAGTCGTTGTCAAAGTTTGTGAAGGTGAAATTACAGTTTTCACGAGCTTTGCAACTTGACAGCATTAATGATTACAGAATTACAAATTTCGTGCAAACTTGTCGTACGCTAGTTTTCATTATACTCTGGTCTGTTCCTTCCAAATCGCTCGTGTGCACTTGCAAATTTATCACTGGCTATTGCTGATAGAGTGGAGAGTTCCATGGCCAACGCGAATGAAGCAATTATTTCCGCAAATCTGTAGATACGACCCTGAAATAGAGGAGGAAATGGATTTCTTTGAACATTAAGAATATACTCTCAATCTGTTTTTCGTTTGTTTGTTTGTTTTTAAATTTCCCTTGGCACCAAAGAACTACAGGTGAATTTTTCGAGCGGTGTCAGCTTTTCAATCCTTTCGCGTTGGCAAATTTGCAATATCAACTTAGTGAAAAAAAATACAAGATATTCTATAATGAACTCCACCAGGCCAAATGACTCCTCAAGTCAACTTTTTTTCAGAAACTCTTTGTGTATTTCGCTGCTGGAAGCAAACGTCTTTTTCTTAGCCGATTTCACACAAAGTTTGCCCACTATCCTCGGAAAGGTAAGCTGGAATACGTTAACTGAACGTGCCATGAATGAGTTAGATACTTAATCCCGCTAGGGATTTTTCAGGTACCAAAGTGGCCAACAGCTTTGTGGTGGAGGCTAAGGGAAGAATAAATTTGAATTCTGGGGGATTAAGCGTCCTCTCCTCGCCGAATTCTGTAATTCCCCCTTAGAGATTTTAAACCTCCAAAAGGTTCTTTTCTTACTTGCACGGCAAGATTCCTACCTTTCCAAAACAACCCATCATCCTCAAAGATTCTTTTGCAGTTGGTGTCCCTGTTCCACCTCCCACCGTTCCAATAAGAAGAGAAGGAACAACAAGGCTAGCGTAAATCCCCGGTTCGTATAGCTCACCAGACTCAGTTCCTTAGGAATAAAGAACGTTAGATGAATGTGTTAACGTCTCTATTTACACCTTATTGCAATATAGCGAAATGTTATTTTCAAAGGTAAAAAGAAAATAAAAAGGAGAAGAAGAAAATTAATGGGAATTAATTGGTCATGCTAATTATAATGTTTTAATATTGGAGCAACCGGGAAGACGTTTAAGTTTTATTCTCTCGTTAGATAGACCGAATTAATTTTACCTTTTTGCATTCCCGGATCCCGTTCTTTTCAACTAATTCGATTAAATGCCACGGCCTTTTTCTTTTTGCTTTTTTTTTTTTAATTTTTAGCGTTTCCGACGACAGGTTTATTCAAGGGCGCCGTTTATTTCAACTCTTTACGTATTTCGCTGTTACAAGCAAACGTCTTTTTCTTAGCCGATTTCATACAATGCAAAAGAAGTCGGTTACTCAGATCTTCGGAGGGCAGAAAATGTAGCATTTCCGGCAGCAAACGAGGGATAGTTGTGGTTTTGGTTGGGGACGGTGTGGAGGGGATAAAGTTCGACCACTATCCTCATTATCCTCTTAAATCACTGACAAATCAGAAATATTTTGTAAAAACGAAACATGTTTTTAAAAAAGCTTTAATGTCTTCCTTTTTTGATGAGATAAAATCGCAAATTTCTGGATGGTGTAGATTACAAAGCTGCACCGCCTTTTCGTATAATCCCTGAATTAAGGCGGCATATTTTTTGATTATATGGAGCGTTTTTTTGCCTCCATCTGCGGTGTTTAATTGATCTGGTAAATAGGGTATTACAATTAAGAAAAATATTTAAAAATTAATTAAAAATACGAAAGTTCGATATTTATTTGTTTATTATATATTCGACAATTTAAGGATTTTTAACCATCTAAATTAATGTAATAAAATGATGGTTGGAAACTGAAACAAGGTTCTTTGCTCCATTTCCTCGGGTAGAGTCCATCACAAGAACGTTTATCTTTACACCGTTTTCCCACATTTTTTTTCTTTTTTTTTTTTCAATAACAAACGATGAATTAGCTTTGAAATTAGACTAACATATTCAAATACTTGTTATTTACCACCAACTTTTATTTCTCTTTCTGTTGTTATCTCAAGCATGGCCCAGGAACTCTCATGAACACACGCCAAATCCTGTCCCGTAGCAGCGGATATCCCAGCAATTGTATTACTGACGCACACATTAGCACAGTACGAACCAGCTCTCTGCGCACCTATCTGGAGAGCGTGAAAACACCTGCTCAAGGTAGAGGAATCTACCTTTTATGCAAAGGAAAAAATAAATAGCGGAAATGTTGCATAACACAAACATATTTACTGATCTGTGCCTACAAACTTGTATAACATTTTCTCCACCACTACCAGTTCAACTTTTCTTCATACAAAGCCGAGTTTCAAAGAAGGGCATGCAAATGAAAGGAAAGTATATTGCATGTTAACATTAGTGGTCTGATCACAGAGCCAGAAGCTCAACATGGCGATAATGTTCTGACTTACATTTAGACATGGTCGAAGCAGTTCTAATTAAATCTAGAAGACTGTCCCTCATCAGGGCACGCTATCTCTGAATGTACATGAAGTTCCAAATTTTAATTTGTTTAAAAACATTGATAAGAAAGTGTACTTGTGAAAGTCCTAATTTTTTATGGTCAGCCAATTTTATTACAGAAAACTAGGGAGAATGACACATATGAGGTCATGCTAAGACCACTGCTCAGCTTTTTTGACATTGCAGAGCTTGAAAATGAGGTTGGAAGATTAGAAGACTTTGTGAAGCCAATACCTGAATTGCTGACTAATATTTATGTCAGAGCGGATAAAAAAGGATTCGAGGGATTTCGAATGCTATTTTTGAAGAATATTTATCAAATACATAAACTACGAAAAAAAAAGAAAATCGTAACAACCGACCGTGTCCTCGATCAGGGATTGCAAAAAAAAGAAACTTACAATAAAGCAAGGGTGTTACATTGTGCAAGGTACCTTTAAGACATTTTGCAGGACAGATTCTGTAATATAAGCTTCGGCCTGAACTTCAATTCCACGACCTTTAATGTAATTCTTTGCTAGTGCACCTTTATCGCCACTACACTTAGATTCAATGTAAAACTCCCTGATGTTGATATCCGGTTGCTCCTTGGCGATCTGTTTTAGAGCCCACTGACATGCGTGCCAGGTGGTTACAGTTACACCATTTTGTCCAGCGGCATCAGCAGAATCGTAAACGAATTCCATCAGCAGATTTCGACCTAAAAAGAAATAAGAGGAAAAAGGGAGGGAAAGAAGGGGTCACAGGCAAATAAAGGAGTTTATCAAGCATTTTTACTTTCTATAACTTGTACTTTCATTGAGGTTATAGCTTTTCTCAATTTTTTGAGCCGTTAAGAGTCTAGTATCACACACAAAAAAGGGAGAAGAAACGGACCAACAAACCAAGGTTCCAGCGCTTGAAGTTTGCAATGTTGGCTAACTTCACTGGCTCTTAACTTAAGTTCTTCAAAGTGGGAAATTAACCAGGATGACAACGTCTGTGCCTGCTGGATGGAGTCTGTAACAAAATGCGGTGTTCTCATGATTCGTCGCTGAATCACTCGTGCACTGACTCCTCCGCACCTAGAATAACGGAATTATACACCCGTTTTACTCAAAGTTCCCATAACATGCTCAAACTGTCCCATACCAACACTCAACTGGTACATAATTATTCAAAAATAATCGAAATTGTAGATCATTGCACTAGGTCGCGGTAGAAATAGGTGTAAACTTTCAACTTTCAGGAGGAAACTCCTGCCCCCCTGCAAAGTAAATTTATTTAACAGATATTTGATCACTCTTTGTCCAAATTGTAATCATTTTAATATTTTGCAAATTTGAGCTGAAAAAAATGGCCGCCCTACAAGACATTTCACATCCGCTAACAGTGAAGGGGCGAACGTACAAACGGACGATTTTGTCAGAACCAAAATTTATTGCATGCAATCATGTTGATAACCAATTTTTTTTTTCTTACCCTGCTGTTCTGCTGAGCGAGAGGTCCGCTTTATACGGTTAAAATTACCTGGTCATTGCTGTAGCTCCTCTGGTGGAAGATGCAACAAGTGTACCTTCTGTTGTTGCAAAAGGGCATAGAATATGTTCATTTACATGATCACCCTTGATGAGAAGCGGGCCAATAACACCCAAAGGAATTTTAGCTAATCCAATGAGGTTTTCTATATTCCCCGCCAAACGTTCAGTGGAATGACTCCCATGGGTTCCCTGTGGATCCAGCCATTGACCAACATTTGGTAAAGATTTTCTGGTGACCTGTTCAACCCATTTCCTTCGGTTATCACAGTCTTCTAGCTTGTAACTATTCCTGTATGGTACCTAAGGAAAAAAAAAGAATAAGCGTTAGACTCTTAACATAAAGGAAACTAACTCAACATTTTGGGTTAATTTTGATTTTACAAATCGGACGAATTGAGCTATAATGGATTAAAGTGGTCTATAATAAAGGATACAGCAAGGAATACAAACAGAAAACTTTTTTTTTTCTCGATGCAGAAACCATCACGTTCCATGTGTTTTGTTTTGTTTTTTTTTTTGGATTCTCGCTCAGAAAGTTCCATGTTAACAGCTTTGCCGATTTCTAGCAATATGATTGACCCAAACTATTTCAAACAAAACTTAAATTGGCCGAAGGGGTCTGGGTCTACTATGCACTCCATTTTCGCTCCGGATATAATACAGGTCAAATTCCACGGATCAGAGTACAGACGATGGGATTTAGTAAGCACTCAAGAATCCATTTATTTACTTAATCAAGGAAGCCTTTAAATCTTTGTTCTATACTACTTCCATTCTTCTGATTGGGTGGTAATAATCCGGCTGCCTGACGCTTTAAACAGATAAGGGGGATTTTATTCGAGCCTCAGTTACAGTCTTGCTGTTTGTATCGATCAGCACAAGTTAATATGTAAATACTGGATTAATATTTCGTCCTTTGAAACAGCGGGAGTGGAAATTGTAACCTGTCGCACAGATGTTCCACCTTAGATTACCTTTACAGGTCTTCTTATCTTTGAGTATACCAAAGTAGGCTATTAGAGACGCCGTATTTAGACCCGGGGGGGGGGGGTATTTTAAAAAAAGTCCTATAAGGGGAGGCGGCGCTCCGAGGTACAACCCCTTGCCCTCCTATATAACGTTTTTGATAGAAAATGTGGCTCTTTCACATACCTTCTATTGATAGGTGATACCCTTTTCACATCCCTAGTTTACATTTTCCATCTCTTTTAACAGCACAAATGCGCTGTCTTTAAAAAATGAATAAATCGCAAAACAAGGACCTTTTCTCGACTTTTTAATCTTTCTGTGGCAGTTTTTGGTCATTTTAATTACAGACCGAAATGACAGATTTGCCAACCTTTGATATACCTCAACCATTAAAATCCCTACCCTTTGATATACCTGAAGAATGAAAAAGGTACCGCTTAGCTTTCTGGTGGAACCTCTACTTATAAGCAATTATAGCGAGTACCCCCCCACCCCCTCCGGGTATTTAGATAGTAAATCAAGTACGTCATGGATTACTTGTTCCCTTGTATCATCGACAAAGGACCGAAAGAATGAATTTCCATTCTACGGTCCACGATTTTATGACCGTTTGAATTTTTTTGGTGGAATTTAGGTCTAGGTTAGGTTAATTTAACATCCAAGAAAAAGGTAAACCAGTCCAGATCGGTGTGCTACTTCTGGCACGCAATTTACACTTCTATACTTCATTTTTTTGACAGTTTCTTTTTCTTCCAACTGGAAATTTAACCGGCAAAGTTCAAGTTACGTAATGTTACTTAATTTATTATAAGACTATATAGTAAGTGGTACATCATAAAGGTCGTTTGTACTATTCCCCAGTGTAAGTGATCGATAAACCTAGTTTCAAGTATGAATAAAGCAATACATCAAAGTTAAATCAAAAAAAGTTACTGACAAAGTCTTACTGTTGACTGGGTTAAGGCCAGGGCAAAAACAAACCTTCATGCTATAGGCTATTACCTTAACTAGTACTCCCTCTTACCTTAAAATCCCCTGAACTTTTTTCCACAGCGTCTGTTGTCAGCCTGTGATCATGAATGCCCATACACTGTACTGAAATTCGACTGAGACGGGCACAGATTTTTTGCTGTCGAAACAATGTTGCAAACTCCATTGCCAAAGGCATGACCTGCGATATTGTTAGCAAAGAGGATTACATACCGGTCAACAAAGAAAATTAAGATTGGTTTTGAATTTTCCCTAGTTTCAATTTTAAAAAACTAATTAACTGTCTGTTTGGTTACTTTGCTTACCGTAACATCAATCGATTTCTTTAGCGAGTTTCTCAGTGACTTCTCGACTGTATGCAAAATCCAGTGTAAATAAACAAGGCTTGAAACAAATAGCTGAAACCAACTAATGAAAAGCTTTTTTTTTTTCTCCGGGATGCTATAATTTTTGTCGCGGGTCGGGATTCGGGATGTTGTTTGGAAGAAGGTAACGAGATACAAACTTTTGGACCTGGGATTTCGGGTTTGAATGGCTTTATATTCCGCGGTCATTTTTTCTTTGACAAAAGGTAAAGCTAAAACCTATACCCAGTTATCTTCTTATCAATTGAACTGCAGTTCAGTAGTGTCGTGGTCCATTGACAAATATTATTTCATAGGCCCAGGTGCTGGAGTCATATGGAGTCGACAAAGTTTGCGCTAACTTGTGGATCGTGGAATATCACGTATGTACAACAAAACTGACGCTAGAGTTCACAAACATTAGAGCATGGACTGCATAATTTCTACGTGAATTTCAATGTAAATAATTAGGCATATATGTAATGTAGGTATTTTCATGTACATGGCGCACCTGTTGAATGTTTCTGGAAGCTCGAAACTTAGTGATAGTGGTGTAAATAATGGGAGAAGTTGTTTTTAGATAGAACTTTGAGGGCGAAAAGCCAACACTTTCATACATACAAGTAGCGCTTGGAGTGGGTTGACAGAGCGTAAAGAAATATCCACCAGCTTTGGAAATGACAAAAGTTTGCTGATTACGCCTCGTTAAAACGAGATGTCTAGCCATAACCATTACAAAGAGTGTTTTTAAAGTCATTTTTAGTTTTGTCGATCCTGATATGAGCAAGTATTGCTAACTTAAATTGTAGGAAAACATTGAGTTAAAAATGACCCAGCTTAATAAAAAAAAGAGTTGGAAAACAATTGTTTGTTTCTTTATAATGAATATCTCCTGCAGTGATAATATATTGCAGCAAATAAAAGTCACTTTTAAATAAACTAACAAACAAAAAAAAATGTAAAGTGTAAGTGAAACCAAGGTGACAGTCAGACGTCCACATGTGGTTGGGGTTGGAGTCCCCCGTTTTACGTCGTTTTCCTCTAACCAAAACATAAACAGAGAAAAAACAAAAAGAAAAAAAAAGAAGAAAGGAACCCCCAACTTGAACCCAAGTGGGCGTTTACTGACAACACCATAATAATTTAACAGTTTCATAGACCCACCGGTTGTCGCGGTGCAACCACTTGAAGAAAAATTACCCGCAATAATCCTAAGAACATGTGACCATTGTCATTAGAGGATACTAGTCATGAAAGGAGCATCAAAAACGACATTATGTTGGGAGTTCCCTGACCGTGAACAATCCCTTTCTTCTGTAATTCACAAATTGTGACGGAAAAAAAACCGATCAGTGAGGCCCGTTTCAAACGTCGTGCTACTGCCGTTCTAAGCTGGCTCGACTTCAGCACGACTTGGTTTTAGACGTCGAATTTAAATCAGTCGAATAAAATAAATGTCGCGGAAAACAAAACAGAAAAATAAAAAGTGCAGATTTAGTGAAGTTTCAAAATGTATTTCAATGTATTTATTCCTTGCCAGGTGATTGCCGTAAGGCTCTCGCGTGGTGAAGGTTTATACTAAGTTTGTCGCGCGTGGTACATAGCGACCTGCAAACTTGGGCGGCCTGATATTTCTATGTATATATCGCTTGGTTTCCGCAATGTAATGACATCATCATCAAGGAGGAAACTTAGTCGGCATTGTTTTTACTGTTTTTTCGGTCGTTTTGGCGATGGACAAATAGCAGCGAAAGTCAATCTGCAAGCCGTTTTCTTTTCTTCGTTTTTAGTCCACAAAAGGGGAGTCATGGACTCGTGGAAACTGGGGATAAGAATCGCAACGTGACCGATAACATAACATTTTCCAGAGCGCCATGAATGTTTTGTGAATAACATTTGGATAAGATTAATGTAAAAGATGTCGAGCTTTTCCGGAACGGGTCGGTCCACGAATTCTATTGCTTGAAAACGTTGATTACTTTAAGACAAATGAATACTTCAGTGGTCGGAAAAAAAGAAGAACATTTGTGAGCAAGACAAATCGCAAACAAGCAATTCGCCATTTTAATAGTTAGCTCTTCTATATCCAGATTCTTTAACTTCGATTAACTTGAATCTATTCACGACGTAATACTTGCAATTGCTCTGTCCGTTGGTCAAGTGTTGTAAAGTTTTTATTGAATGCAAATGAGTCTCGTGAGCATGCGGTTTGTTCAATTTCACGTCGTGCTCGTGCAGGGACGGCAAAAAAATGTACCAAAAAAGAATGCTATACGTGGCAAATTTATTGTTTTACTTATTAAACTTAGCTATTGCAGCTGTTTTGACGTTCTCGTTACCGTCGTCGTCCTCGTTGCCAAAGCCCCTTATGTTCATCGATGTGTGTAAACTTTTGGGAATCCGAATGTGTTTTTAGTTTGAGCGCCTGCGAAAATTTGTTGGAATATATACCCTCAATGGAATAAATCTGGAAACATTTATGTAGCCGGAAAGAATTTCGCCCCTAATGTAAACGCGGCTAAAGCCATGCAACAAGCTAGTAAGCAAGCAAGTGAGTGATATTTTGCCGTCGTTCGCCTCATTGATTTTTCACTAAGAGAAGCACACTCTGTTGACGTAATCCTGTCTTACTTTCTCTAATCCTAAGACATGCGCAGGTAAAACAAGGCGTTCACGCCTTATACCACCCAGCTTGCCGCTGCGCACTATCTTCCCGCCGTTTCTCTAAATGTAAAATTGAACATTCAGTCCACCAATAAATTGCTTCGCTTTGCTTCACTGGAAACCGACATTCGGGTGTGTTAAAAGGAACAGTGCGTTGTTTTAGAAAAAAAAATCAAAAAAGCAATCGGGCTCTTAAAATAATTATCTAGTCATTCATTTGCGTTTCTTTTCTTATTCACAAGTTTGATTTTATTGATTTTCTTTTTATTATTTTCTGGTACGCACGTGTGTACGTACGTACAGGTGGCTACACACCAGCATTCTCCTACAAAGTTTGTCTTTATCTCCCACAGGAACGATTTAGTTAAAAGATTCGTTTAAACCAAGCAGCCACTTCTTCCTCATGTTCACTAAGCCACATGATATTGGCACGAATCTGTTCCATTCCCATATGAACCTGACGATACCCAAGAGCAGTAGAGGAGTAGCCCTTGAAAAATTCCATTAACTGAAGACATAAAAACATTGAAGGAGTTAAATTTTAAAACATAGCTTCCGTTGCACTTTTACTTCAGGGAAACAATCTTATATCACATAATTGCATAACAATAGTCAGCAATCCTCACCTTCCCTCTCAAGCTACATGCATGGATAAAACTAGAACACCGGTGAAATTGGTAAAAAGTTCTCAACTTAACCTTCTGAAAATGTTAGTAAAGTTGAGGGGATGTCTACGGCCGCACTTTTTGCTGCTTGCCACTTGGAGAGTCCAGAAATTGCAATACTTTTGACTTTTTAGAGAGATCTCATAATCTGTTCAATATTCTTTCAATAATAGAAAGGTGGTACCTTAAAATGTACTTTAGTAGGACATTGGCATAGAGATGATAAATTAAATTGGTAAACTCAAATATTGACGTTTTAGCTAGAATACTGATTTTACCTCATCAAGTTGGGTTTTTGTGTTGCAATTGGTCATCAAGGAGGTAATCAAGTTTGACCAGCCATTTCCAGTCCCGTACCTGAGAGGAAGATATTGTAGGGTCATTGGAATTGATCAGATACAACAACATTTATAGTGCCAAACGTCACGTCACTAGCTTTAATAAAAACTGTGCATTGCGCTAGTTGTCACTCAGTAATTAGGAGCTGTACGTGTAGCAGCTGGAATTGAAGATTCATGTGCACATGATTAGGTGTCTCGGGTTAGGTGCTCACTAGTGTGGAAGATAGTTTTCATGAGTCATAGCCTGAGTCTACTTTGTATCACTGGTTTTCATTTCACACAATCAACGATCAAAGAAGGAACCAATAAACTCTTGAAGACAAGAACTACTGCGATAAAATAAGTTAATATACAGACTGGTCAAGATAAGATCCGTGTGCATTTTCATGCCGTAGTGAGTCGCTATGGTGGTGTTCCGTTTCAAGTTACTGGAGCGGCTAAGAGCAACATGTATCACCGACTGTATTCAACATCGATTGACACCCAGATACTTATTCCAATACATGAAGTATTCAGATAGCAAAAGCTCAAAATCTATGTCTTCGCTTTCTTTTAATAACCAGAGCGACTCTTTCTCGAGTGACCTGAATGGTTTTAAAAAGTCACAAGCGCACTACCAAAAAAAAATAACCGAATTATCAAAGTGAAATGTAGAAAAGACAAGTGTCTCAGTTCGCATCATCAAACTGAGAATTCAGAAAGTACTGATCACTAATCTAAATTTATGATTAGATCAAAGGCAAACCGGCGGTAATGTGTTTAATACCATTTATACCTTTTGTAAAGATAGTTCCAATTACGAAGTACAAAGTCCCAGGCCATCCGCCATGCTTCGGGTTTAGATGCAAAGAGTGATATTACCGTGAGAGTTTGCTGAGAACCAATTTTGTCCTTATCCAGTGAATAATTCAGAGTCCTAGATAAAAAGTGACAAAGAGACATTTCAAAATAAGCTTGAGATAAAAAGAGTAAAAAAAGACTGATCGTCGAAAGAGAATAATAAGATGATAAATTAAGACCGATTTAAACGCCAAGTATATTCGAAATATTTAAGACATTATCTAAACATTCATTAACAGTGATTAAACTAGATGTCGTTTAAGAAACTAAACTAGACATCCAGTAAATAATGCTTTCTACTGGGACGTCCAGATAAAACTGCGCGATTCCTCGGGCGCTGATGGGTCTAAGGCTATAGTCGATTTAACAATATGATGAAAAAAAAATATGTAGAAAGAGGAGAGGCCGAGGTGGATAAAAGCCTCCGAGATTCACATCATACGAAAGCGGAATTCAGTGATTGTTTTATTGTTGGTTTTTTCATAATATTTCTATGTCCTTTTGACATGTCATAAAAAAAACAACAACAACAACAAACAAGATAAGCTACGCGCGCCGTGATAGGTCGTTGCCCATGATACTCTGCGTTGCCCAACATACTCTGCGAGCAGAGGCTACAAAAGTAGCCTCTACTCGCAGGGTAGTCCAATATGGCGCGCGCCTTTTTAACAATTATTCCTCGAGCCCGAATGGGCTCTGAGTCAATAGCCCATGAGGCCGAAGGCCGAATGGGCTTTTGACTCAGAGGCCATTAGGGCGAGAGGAATTGTTTTAGTAAAATCCAACTAGTTGGTCAAAAATATCGAGAATAAAAAAAGTTTAGCTAGTTAAAGCTAGACTTAAATCCTTTTTGTCCCCAAAAAGCCCGCGCTTTTCGCTACTAATGGGCTATAACGTATAGCCTAGTAGTAGCTCAACCAATCAGAACGCAGCATTGATAATAGACCACTAGTTGCAATTTACTAAAAACGTTTAGCTGTTTACAAGCACGCAAAACGGAGAAACATACGAGACAAAAAGAGCTCTTGGCGAAATCTTCGCAAAAGATGCCATAGCTATTAAGTCAACGCTAAGTTAGACCAGTACTCGCAGTTTTTTTTCGGGATCATTCAATCTACTCTGATAAAGTTAAGTTCTTGGGAGACGCTTGAAAGAAACTGTCTACAAGTCTTAACGAATGAAATGCCTTAGCTATAGGGTTTCTCCGATTTCTATGGTTAGGCTTCATCTATATCCATGAACTTAATGTTTTTTTTTTCTTCCAGAGTACTACCATACCAAGAGGCTTGAAGCCTCTTGGTGTGGTAGAGGTTCTCTGTTGTAATTTTGTTAAGACGTTCTTCACTCGTGGAAAAAAGGCTACCCATATATTTTATGTCCCTTTGCACCAAACACTTTTTTTGTAACTTAGAAGGTAGTGTTACTTCCCCGATGGAAGGTTTAAGTACACTACTTGTTTTTTTTTTGTTTGTTTTTTTTGTTTTGTATTTTTTCCTTTTCTTTCTTCTTGTTTTTAGTACTGTACCTTTTTTCTTCTTCTTTTTTAAATTTCTATTCGCGTTGTTGTTGTTTTTATTTGAGTACAATTCCTTTTCCCCTCAAGTTTGAATGAATTGTTATTATTGTTATTATCTATACTAGAAATGATGATAAAAGAATAGATCATAGAAAATTGTTGTCTATTTTTTAAATTTAGCAGCTTTCGAAAAGAACGTGAAATCCATAAATGAAGTTCGTGTCACTATCTTTTTCATAAAATGCATCTCGCGGGTACACTGATTTAAGCGTGGTGAGACCCGTTCTCGTGATTGTGTTCAATTAGAAAATCCAAAATTTCTTTTCAAAATAATTTCTTCATGTGTTTACAATAAAGCCTTACTTTTCAATCATTTGAGGATTCCTGGTGCATGTAAGGGAAGTTAAAAGAATCGCCTTTTCTGAAGCAATATTTGTCGACTTATACTTGTCATAAACTTGATTCCATTCCTTCACACCACCTTCACGGACACCCATAGAATAAACTAGGGAGCGGAGATTTGATGCAATGCTGCAAAAAAAAAAACGGAATAACTGAAGCTCATAGGCAGGATGCTCACAGCCCTGTTTCCTCTCATCCTTGGTTATCTATTAACAGAGCACAAGTAATGCTTAAAACGCGAAGAACAGTGATTTATCAAGGGTTAAAAACTTGAGCAGGGAAGGCCACAATTTTTAATCCGGATTCCCTTACATGGCGCGAAAAATAGTTAGGGTTTTTATACATACAAGTGACCCTCCATTGCGAGCTGAAACATCTCCTTGACCTTGGCTATAACTGCTTTGTCTGAACAATAACAAGCCGTGGAAAGAATGTATGGCCTCAGAAGTCTGCAAAGCAATTATAGCAATAATATGAATTAATTTAAACGCACCCTACGACAAATGAAAATGAAAAATGAAATAAAAGCCAAATAAGTATTAGATAAACATTTATTATAGCACTCACAGGTGAATCCACATAAGTACAGCCAGGCTGTATTTTTGGGAACCATGACCAAAACCTTGGAATGCAAATTAGCTTCTTTTTTTTTTTTTGCTTAAAGTTGTGCATGTGAATATGAAATTTGAAAACAATATCTCAGTGAATAATGAGGACGTTCACTTTAACCCACCAAATCTTTGGGGGTGGGGAAAATTGTGACATTTGAAGACCCATTTAATGGCTGTCCTTATTTTCAATGTCCTTGGAACTTGGAGGCAATATAAATTGATGACCTATTCTCGGGATTGTCAAGCTTTTAAAAAAATTATGGAGCGGTTTATAAAATTATCGTGACATTTGTAGGAATGGACCAAATTAAATAGAAAAATGGTAATGAAAGCAGCCGAACACACACTAATCAAATTCTTCTTTCTCGCAATCGGCCGAAGCGACCCTATAATATACATTATATAGTATAGTATACAGTTTCAAATTATTTTAATAAAACCACTGTGAGATGAAACCGCATTTCCATGCCTCATCTTTTTATCTAGATATTAGCCAATTATGTCGATAGCATAATTATTTATTCACTGTTTTTATGACCCTTAAAAGCGTTCTTCAAAATATTTCCAAAACCCTCCCACAGAATATGTTTAAACTTCGCCATAATCGAGGCAACTAAAGGAGGTAAAAGCTCCGTTAAGCAAAATTAAAAAAGCTCTTGGTACCGAGAAATACAAAGGCATGTAAAAAACGTAATGGCGTCGTTACGTTGCTATTGCTACTCCTATGTCAATAAAACATGGATCACAAGCTGCAAACTAATAAAAGTTTAATGCATGTGGTATCCTCTTTCTGATATCTTTGTTAATGCCGATGAGGTAAATACTCGAATTTAAGAGAAAGCCACCCTAAAAACAAGTCTAGCTACCTTAATTTGCGTTTGTTGAAAACTCACGCAACAGCAAAAAGTTGTATAAGTTTATGAGTACAATTCATAAACAGATACATGGTAGTATGACAAAACCCATGCAGTCAATTTTCTCAGTCTGTACATTATTTAACCTAAGGAAACAGGCAACACTTCGCGACGTCACCACTGGTTTCCCGCGAAATGACGTCTGAGAAACGAGCGCAGAAATTCCATACTGATGACGCGTCACTACCCAGATCTGGACAGTGCTTCTGATTGGTTAACATTGTGCTTAAAATGTGTTTCTTAGGCTATACATAATTCAGAAATCACATTTGTATTAATGGAGTGAAAGGGTTTTTTCCTTTTCTTACTTATCCAGGTGAGATCCGTTATCTTCCCATCCCAGTCGCTTAATAGCTGGAGCAAGCTGCTGCAACATGTACCTCTGAGGCAACGAGAAGCAACGCCTAGTATTACTCACCTTATTATAAAGGGGCTCAATTTTCCAAACCCATTAAAGCTCTAGTAAAACGGGCAACAAATAACGTGCAAGAGTGACTTGTTTAGCAACATTGGTGCAAACCGAGTTAAATAGGCTTGTTTTACCCTTGCAACCAACTTATTTATTGCAAGACCGGTTTGATGTAAGTGGTAGAACGCACAATATCGCTATTCAACTCGTTTTGCAGCCATGTTACAAAACAAGTTGCACGTTTTTTTGCTGCCCGTTTTACCGTACCTTAATTAATGAGGAATGGGAAACTGAGAGGGAAACGTCTAGCCCTACTTGGGAGAATGTGAATTTCACCAAAGTTACAAATATTCTGCATTTTTTGCTTTGAGGAGTTGATCGATTTCTAGACTTGATTAAAATTTTCAGACGTTTTCAGGATTTAGACCCGTTTAATTACAACCTCTAAAAATAACTTAAGTGAAATCACATATCCCAGTCAGTGCTCTAAGATTCCCTCTCTATTCCATAATATTCTCTTGATAAAAAACAGTTTTTCTAACTAAGTTCATAATTGGGATTTCGGCAAATTTTTAGTACTGATCTATCAGGACTAATATGAGAAGGGCTTTACAGGCATGTTGGCAAAAAACGTTCAATTTTTGTGCTTTAAATGAATAAATCATCTCAAATGAATTTTGTGACCATAGTTTTTAGAACATTTCAGCCCATGATTCATTGAAGTTACATGATTGTTTACAAAATCGGCACTAGTCTGAATCTTTCCTAATTTGTTCATTAACGACAATTAACTACCGAAATATCAACCTAACAATTTAGATTGAGTAAGTGGATAAGGGAGAAATTTACTATAATTAACCTGATAATTAACTACTTAAACGTAAAAAATTCACATCTTTACCTTGAACAATCCGTAAGATTTTCGTAGTGCTAAATTGTTGCCGATGTAAAGCATATTTTGTATGAATGTTTTCAATGGGACATAATCTGTTTCGTGAATAATGTACTTTGTCAAATCCAAAGCGATAGTTTGATCCAGCAGATTGCTCCTAGATAGAGATACCGAGGCAAACAAGTCAGTACAGCTAAAAAAGCAACCAACGGAGGAGAAAAACTGAGGGAACAAAATGAGGCAATAAAAATAGAAGCCGTGAGAAAAGGGAGATGTTGAAGAAATCATCATGTTTTTTCTTAATGAATAAATAAATCTGTATCTACAGCCATTGTAACAACAACATACGTTACCTTGCCAAATGAAAAGCATCATCCATCAATCCTGACCGGTCAGTGGCACTCAAGGCCTCAAACAAAGTTGTAAACTCGTGAGTAATGGTTCTTTGCAGTTAAATTATTACATGTTGTTAAAATTAAAGACCTTGCTGGAGAGCAAACGATCCAGAATAATCCTGGCAGAGGGAAGTTTGCCCCGATTTGTGCATCTTCCATAATACACCTTCTGTCTCAGTTGTTTTCCTCCCCTCTCCCTTCCCCCGCCAAATTTTGCATTGCATAACCTTAAACCTTTAGTTGGATTTCAAATGACTAATTAGCGTTCACTGACGTAATCGCGCTGTTTTTCTTGCCTCGCTGTGTCTTATGCCCTCTAGCAAGGTGACTGCGCAAGTTAAGGGCAGCTCAACAAAAGTTAAATACCCAATAGAGGTTCTATTTTATGCTTTACTAACAACTTTGTCCACCGGGACTGCGGTATTTTGCCGGTTAATATAGGTTCGACTGTTCCTAGTTTTGGTTCCTTTATTCTAGTGCTGTCCCGTAATTTATCACCTTTAATTAGTTATCTCCTTTTTTGGGTCCAAATTTTCAAGAAACCTTTAGAACATCTAGAGACTTTGGACAACTCCTTTTTTTGTCAGTGAGACAAATATTAAAAAGGTCAATATATTCCTAAAAAAATATTCAAAATCTGAATTAACAAGAGTTTTCCATAACCTGCCTGTTGGATGTATATTAGTCCTTACTTTATGGTCAGATTGTAACTGAAGGTAAAGAGACTTCCAGTTCTCTGTTTCGTAGTTTACTCGGTAATATCCAATCTGATCAACATTAGCTTTGATCCAACCGTCAGAGGAGGCCCAGTTTAGTGTAGCTGAAAAAGATTTCGAGGAATAAGTTGTGGTTGTTTTCGTTTCATTTATATATTTTTGGAAGGTTTGTCTATTCATCTGGATTTTTTTATTCATAGATATTACTGTGGTTGCCTGAGGTTGGTGCATTTTACTTGAACTATATCTGGTTCCATGGTTCTTGGCGGTAAGACAGTACGAATGGTACTAGAGAGTTTCAAAATCTCTGACGCGGAGACCCTGGTTTTAAAATCCGAAAAATTGGCAAAATTTCGGAAACTGGACACAAAACTTGAAGAAAAGTTCCCTGAGATTTTGCCATTATCAGACAGAAGTCAGTTTCCCATGACTACCTTAGGTATCTTCGCGTATCCTTGAGGAAAGTTTGGCAAGTTTGGCCCCAGTGTGGATGACCAAAGAGCTTCAGTGTAGAACAATTCAATTTGCCATGTTTAGCTACTTCTTTTTGGTTAACACTTTTTTGAAAATAAAACTGAGATGACCCCTTACGCCGTAGATTGCAATTAAAACGCTATGAAAGGGCAGGCATTACATATAGCTGTGAGCATACAAGCACAAATATTCATAAATCAAGGAGTTCTTACCAGGTCCTCTATTCATCCAAACTTGGACTGTAGCCTTCTTCTTCTGAGTAATATAAGTTAGAGGTATATTCCATGCATAACTAAGAAAGTGAAAGTCATTTTAAAAGAAATACTTTAGCGTAAATTGAATTAAGGAAACGGAAGATTGGCATGCATAAAGAAACACTTTTCCATCATTTTAAAAGTTCTTTGAGAGCACAGAGCTACAAAGTGACATATTTTGGGCCTGTTTTTGCAGTGATTATTGGATCTTCAGTATATGCGTTGAAAGTGATCTTATTCCTTTAAATTAAACCCTTAAAAATTTGACTCATCACAAAGATTAGAAAACCTGACGTCACTTACTCAAAAGGAGAACTCTGGTTGGGCTTCGCACCAGGGGTGATAAGGAATAGCTTTTGATCTGCTCTCGCCTTCTCTTGATCCATGCGCGTGATGGTGACCACCGGTAATCCCATTTGTCGTGTCCAGGTATCCATCACCCTTTTTACATTGATGCCAGTTTGCTATGGATGAAGATCAATGTTTTACTGTTTTTGTCAACAGGAATGTTGTGACAATGTGGTATTTTTTTAAGCTCCAAACGATACACTTTTGACACTCCGACGGGCAAGAAAGTTCTTAGAACGAGTCGTTTATAACCCTTTACTGAGCCTCGATGTCCAGATATCCCGACCGTTTACCATGTTCAGAAATTTCCTTAAAGAATTAGTTGAGAGAAATTCATAAAATTTGAAAGCATCTTGGTCACTCTTAGGACTAAACGGGACCGGGGAGGGGTACTAATTACGCTAATAAAACTAATAAAGATGGATGAAATCAACATTGCCCCTGGCGGGAAAAACACTAGCAGCCGTGTTGTAAAAAGCCAGTGAAAAGATCAGATTCTGAGGGCTACGTGGCCCCACAATGAATCTCTTTAACCCTTTGTTTTTTTTTTTTAAAGCCCCAAGAGTGTCAAATATGTATTTTCTATTGATGATATCACTATGTAATCAGAATATATATCCCTGATGAGAGTAGATGAGAAGAAGAGTAGATGATAAACTGAGTGGTACTTAACCAATTCTCTAGATGAGAAAATGTTTGTGGATATTGGGATTCTAAGGGTTAAGGCGGCCAAATTACTTAAACTCGGTTTGTATATGTGAATGTTTGATGACGTCTCAAAGATAGGAAAAGCGCCATGCAACCACAAGGAAAATGTTTTGTTAAGTGTTTTACGTAGTGCCAATGGCTCAGTCTGTGTTATTTGGGTGACCTACAGAGAAAAGAAGTGTGACGTCACGTTACCATGGTAGCAATATTTCTGGATCACAACAATAGGGAACTTAAGCAACGACGACGGCGAAGGCAAAAAAGCAATAGATTTGTGTTAGCATAGCAACAACTTTGCGCGTGCATTACGCTTTTTTGAACATTTCTTAGCACGACTGCGACGTGAAAATTGCTAATTCCAAGCGCCCGCTTTATGGAGTAGGCGACAGAACACAAAAATTTATTTCTTTTTCTTTTCAGTTTCTAAACTTAGGTACGGTGCTTTCGCCACGTTTGACAAATTAAATGAAACTGAATAAGTTCGATGAAGTTTGAAAGAGTGCGAATTCACTCAAGTGACGTTTCCAGTTTGTTGTCAGCCTGAAACTTTGCTATCATGGCAATGTAACGTAACGACTTGTCGTCTCTATTACTGTCTTACCTGAGTTAGGCATTCCCATAAATCATCAGTGTTAGCGTTTCCATAAGAATATTTCTTGAGGTATGTCTGAAGACCTGAAAAGAATCCTTCAGACCCAAGAAATTTCCTCATCATCCGGATTACAGAGGCACCCTATGGTAGAAGGAAAACGTCTGGCGCTCAAAAGTTCCTGAAAATCTGGCGACGGTCAATGTGTATCGCAGAGAAAGCCTTCCATACGCCCTAATCTTCTTATTTAAAAGATAAACTTAAGACGAATAAACTGACGGGAAAGGTACATTTCGAAATAAAGAAGAGTGAAAAATGTGATATTAACAAACGATTTGAATATACACAGTACATAGGCTGTCAAATAGTAACCATCTCGCCAACCGACATAGAAATTTACAGGTTTTGTCCAAAATTAAAGTGAGGTGATTTAACTTATGTCAGGGGGGAGGCGTATTCAAGAAAGGTTCAAAGGTTGAAGTTCAACCCCTCACCCTTATACGTACCATTTTTCACAAAAAACGTACCCTTTTCTTATACCTTCTATTGACAAATTTAACTAATATAATGTGAGTTTACTGTTTTTTAAATATGAAGAAATCACAAAATCAGAACACTGTCTC